CGCTCTATAACTTTCAAAAGTTCCGTTTTTTCGGCGGCTCGTACGGTAACAGATGTTCGTCTCCTGCTAGTCCCGACCGTCAACTCGATACATGCAACGTACGAAAATTTCTTTCGAACTGCTGCGTGCGGATGACTGCAAGCATTATCATGCGGGGGATGTACAGCTAGGTCATGTTTGGTTCTGTCTTCCGTGCAGTAAATTTGATCACGGATTTTTTGCGCAATCGCTATGCGAGTCCCTAAACAAAGTTATTCGATCTCCTACTCTGCTGCGATTACCTTGATCTGGCAAAAAGCATAGGCAATGCGTTGAAAAGAGTTCTGTCAACAGTTGGTGGTCCAACAATCATTCGATCGTCATAAAGTCAAATTCGACGCACTATATGCACTGTACGTACTGCACTCGGTGAATCTTTACAGCTTACAAATATTTGATCGTTGGTCGCTCGTGGTTTCTACGGTTAATTTTTCGAGCGCATATCTTTTTCTGCAGGCTGGTTTGTTCGGCTTTTTTCAATATGAGCGACAACTTTAGGCTTCCGTGGCATTAATTGCGAACGATAGCGCAATTCAATTCGCGCGCATTCTGACCTGCTATACCAAAGGCATCATTTTCATTGCCCCATCCATACATTTTTCGGCACCCCACGTGAAATTTTTGGAAATTCAAGATATCAGAGCTAAGTAATGGTTGCCTCAGGAGATGAAATTACGTTGAAAAAAATTGATTGCCGGCTGCGAGAAGTATTTTTCCACTGGCGCGAAAAAAAGTTCAGGTTTATACAATACTTTATTGAGGTAGACGAGAAATACGGTCCCGTCTTTGGAAGTATGAAGTATGTCACGTGATCAGGGTGACAGCTTAAACTAAAAAGACCGAACGGAATTTTTTATGACGGCGACGATCTAACCTCTACAAAATTTGACTCAACGGATTCGAAACGGTATATTAAGACGTGTGATCGATTTTGAAAATGTCAATAGTGGCACTTACAGCTGATTGACGATGGTCAGGAAGATTTGGCACAAAAGATCGAAATGCGTTTGTTTCGGTTTTTGAACAAGGAAGCTATACAAGCGTTTTTCACGAATTTGCATGTAGTCAACAATTTGAATTTAAAACACCAGCAAGATGCATTCCTTCCCCTTTCGAACGGAACTCCTATGTACCTCTTATTGCCTCACATCTGAGATACATATGCTACGCCTATTGCAGTGCCTTGTCCTACGCTTCTTTCATACTGAATCAAATATTGTGACGAGCAGCTCAAGGTTACGATAAGGCGCTTACTTCTGCGATCTAAGTACAAGTACGAAAATGGTGCAATTTCCTTCTTGACTTTAATGGACCAATTGAAGCTCAAGGAGGGCTGCGCGTAACTGTACTGGCAAAGACCTCATTCGTTGGCCCTGTCGTACCGTGTAACTTGCTTAGGCAACTCTCGAGGTCAGATTCACCGAAAGTGATTTAGTGAAGCTATGTTGCTTAAAAAGGCCAAAAAACTGTCCAAACTTTATCCTTTTTCCGCCCTTAGCCCGGAAAATTCCTGGAGTGCGGTGTTCGTGAGAGAGTCACGATGTCGGGGTTATTTCGATGCTCGATTTAAGTCTTTCTGCGAGCCAAACGAAAAAAAGACGTTTCGAGGACATTAAAAATAGGGTTCGAAGAAAAAGCCACGCTAGCTCGTTTAATTTCTGCGGGAAATCTCCAATGGAGTTACTTTGTCTGACAGACAAAATTTGAACCCTTTTATTGCATGCTACCGAAGCTAGAGCGGGTTCACACGGGCAGCTCCCGTTTTCATGCTACTGACGGGTTGCCAAGAAAATTACGGACAGCCACAATTAATAAATGGGTCAGTGCACTGCTTCACGGTAACGCGACAACCCTGGGCGGTTTTCAACGCGGCCCACGAAAATGTGGTGACTTTTACACAAGCTTTTGCTACCTTTCGAATACTCAATGACTTCGTTACGTTACCTCCGGTGCTTTGGCGTTTGTTAAGAAGAGCCACATGTCATTGAAGTCTTCAGGCCGGAGCGCTCATATAGATGAAAGATAAGTTTAGCCAACGTTTCAGATGGAGTTGAAGCTAGATGGTAGTGTTTAGGGCAAGAGAATGGGCGCAAATCCAATGGCAGAAGCTGGACTCGAAAACGAGAAGACCTCAACGCTCTCAAACGTAAAGCAGGTTCCTTCAGGTCCCGAAGAAGCCAGTGACGTTGACGATGCATTCCAAATCAATCTCGCTGGTAAAGAACTAGTTGTCACAGAGGACAAAAACAGGAGGCTGGTTCGTAAGGTTGATCTGTACATTCAACCCATGATCTGGGCCCTGTACACTTTGCAATACATGGACAAGGTGACTAACAGTTATGCTGGTGTCATGGGTATACAGGCCGACTTACATTTAGCACCAAACGAATTTTCCTGGCTGGGCACTGCATTTTACCTGGCATACTTGGGTGCAGAATTCCCATTGTCTCAGCTGTTACAGAGGCTCTCTTTCGTCAAAACGTTGTCTGCCTGTATTGTAATTTGGGGTATTGTGTTGTGTGCACACGCGGGCGCTACTAATGGTGCAGGAATAATTACAGGCCGCGTGTTCCTCGGCATATTTGAGTCCAGTATCACTCCCGGGTTTTTATTTTGACGTCCCAATGGTACAGGAAAGAAGAGCACTTTGCTAGGATTGCTTACTGGTTTTCTTGTAATGGTCTGGGTGGTATTATTGGAGGCTTTATTGCCTATGGACTGGCACATCATGCCGAGTCGTACTCGGTCGAGTCTTGGAAGGTACTTTTTATCGTTACCGGCCTGATCTCGGTGCTTTTCGGAGTGCTGTTCTACTTTTACATACCAGAGAACCCTAGCAAAGCCTGGTTCTTGACCGAGGAAGAACTTCTTTTGCAGGTCCAGCGCATAAATTCCAACCAGCAAGGTTTTGGTAGCAAGAAGTTTAAGTGGTACCAGTTCGTCGAGGCTTCCAGAGATCCTCGTACATGGATCTATGTCATTTGGGGCCTGACGGCTCAAATTCCCAACGGTGGCTTAGGTCCTTTTTCGTCAATCTTGTTGCATAAGACACTGGCCTACTCTTCCCAAGATTCTCTTTTGGTCGGATTAGGTAACGGTGCTGTTCAGATTGCATCCGGCATCATAACCGGCTACATTGCTACCAAGACAGGTAAAAGAGTTATTGTCGGAGCAGTGAGTTGCTTGATTACTTTACTTGCTACATGCTTGCTTGCCTTTCCCGAGTCTACAAAAGCTGGACTTGCAGGGTACTACCTCATCCCATTTTTTGCCATCGGTATGGTAACTATTCTGGCCTCCATAACATCGGATGCTGCTGGACACACCAAGAAGCTGACAGTATCGGCGGCATTTTTGGTTTCTTACTGCATAGGAAATGTTATTGGACCCCAGACCTTTCGCGCTTCAGATGCTCCTCAGTACAAGCCCGCAAGAGTTACCATGGTTGCCTGTCTGGCCGTCGCGACGGTCGACCTCTTCATTCTTCTCCTGGTGAACATCCGTGAGAATAGAAAGAGGGACAAAAAGTTTGCCGAGGATCCAACATGGTATGTGGCACCAGATGACGTCGAATTTTTAGATCTTACGGACTTTGAGAACAAGAATTTCAGATACTCTCTCTGAGCTTTTAGGGGATCAGATATGAACTAAGCACATGTCGATAATTGTTCCGCGTATTCATCTCGGTTGGTGTACACCTGATGTATGATATAGATTCCACATAATTTGGTTGTCGTAAAATTTCCGTGTTTTTTTTGATGGATTGTATGGGGAATACCGTTTGATAAAACGTTACACATAATGGGCAAATGCTGAGTTAAAATTGTTGGCAACGGAATTCTAGAGAACGATTGAGTTATTGCGTGCTTTTATTTAAATAGAAATGCCAAGGTCGCAGTATATAACAAATACAGTTTTAAACAGCGGTCCTGGTAGTGCGAATGGGCATTAAATACCACCTGTGGACAAAGGCATTGTATCAAAGTTCGAAAAGGTTAAAGAACTAAAGAACGCCAGTGCCTCAATCGACGGTAGATCTATCAGAGAGTAGTATTTATTGTAACCGCTTCATAACCTGTTCGTAGCAATACTTTCCTTTTAATAGTCTTTCAGAAGCAAATTCATAACCGAATCACCATGTAGGCATAACGGAACATGCCCTCATCGCTCGAGAGGAAAGAACGATAAACGAGGGCACACTTATGCTTGTGCCCCAACAAAGTCGCCTGCGTAGCTACCGAAGCCGGCCATCATTCAGAAAGTAGGATAAGCGAATCTTATGCTAAAGCGCTCAAATAATTACAGCACTAAAGGAGATCTAAAAGCACTCAATATTCGACAAATTGTGCAACCAAGCAAGCTTTGAAAGAGCTAAGTAACTAATTTGGAAGCAGTCAACCATGGACGGTCAACATTAATAAAGAAATAAATAGATCCAATCATTGCACCAAATTAATATTTGGTGCATATTATATTGTGTTGTATAATGGTAGAAAAAGCGATGCCTTGTAAAATGCCACTACCCTCAAAACCATCAATAACACCATGATTATCGCAACTGGATTTATAAGAACTTAGTGCGATATTTCAATTCTCAAGACTAATAAGAATTTTATCGGAGGCGGATTTCGGTAAAAAACTACAACAGCAGCGTGATTGAGTTGCCAAATTCTTTCATGATTTTGCCACAATAAATGTCTTGATCACGTTTTCTCCAACTACGCAACATTGAGGAAGACAATAAAGAGTGTATTAGCGACTTTTGAAAGAGCGTAAGACGGAGAGGATAGAATACTATAAATGAAACGAAATTTTGAGAATGGCATCGTTAAAGAAACGGCAAGTGCAACCAAGAACAGGAGCAAAATACTCGAGTCGACTAATCAAGCATGACATGCTTTTTTGGCTGGCTACAGAACCTTTTTCTTGGAAGAAGTTTACAGCGGGTGATATTGCCAAGTTGTACAATGGCTTGCTCGAAACACGTGACCACGCTGACAAAATAAGATTAGAAGATCGAATGGACGGTTCGCATTCGGCAAGAGCACTCGGTCAAGTAATCCTACTTTTGGCGTTGCAAACATCTCCCTACCCACCTAAATCATGTCACCAGTTGTATGGTACGACGTACGATGAAATTTTACCGTTTGTTTTATTGATAGTAACAGATTGTAAGAATCAAATCTAAGGGGAACGTTATGACCAACTTTAGAGTTGTCGTGCTATTGAGCTAATCACGGAACGATATCAACATTAATTTTCGATTTCCTTTCTATTAAGGAGAACTCTGAACGAAATATATGAGAATTTTGGCACATTGTCAGCCACCGAACCGACAAGCTCAATAAAAGCCGAAACTCACCCATCCAGCGGATTCGAACCCGCAACCAGTATGTGATTCTGCCCGTTTTATTTTGTCAGCAAGGGCACGTGACATGACTTCGTTCGACTTGACGATCATCTTTTGTCATGAACAGAAAGCATGAATTGTCCCCACAATCCGCCTTCTTTCTAGAATATGCGACGGAACGTTCGGAGTTGAGTGCTCGTAAGCATGCTTAGCAGTGTCGCGCATTCTGTGATGTGTCATCAATGAATTACAGGTTTATAAGCATTTCAAGGGATCTTTGTCAGCCTGCCGAAAGACAGGTACTTAAACTCAGTGTTTGGCGAAGCATTCCACCTCACTGTTGTGTTCTCCTTCTTAACCACAGACAATAAGACAATCACAATGGCAAAGAAAGCTTTGATTGCTCTCACTTCCTACAACGAAGTCTTCTACAGAGACGGAGCTAAAACAGGCGTTTTCGTCGTCGAGGCAATGCATCCCTACGATGCTTTCACGGGAAAGGGCATTGAAGTCGACTTCGTTTCCGAGACGGGCACTTTTGGATACGACGAACATTCTCTCAACTCTCTCAACGGTGAGGACTTGAAGGCGTTTGAGGACAAATCGTCCAGCTTTAGCAAGGGCATCCATGCTGTCAAGAAGCCAGGTGAAGTCAAGGCCGAAGACTACTCCATCTTCTTTGCCTCTGCTGGCCATGCTACCTTGTTCGACTACCCGACTGCCAAGGGTTTGCAGGATTTGGCTTCCAAGATCTATCAGAACGGAGGCGTCGTTGCCGCCGTTTGCCACGGTCCAGCGATCTTCGAGAACTTGAAAGACTTGGATACCGGCAGGTACCTCGTCGAGGGGAAGGCTATTACAGGCTTCACGGACATCGGAGAGGTGATTTTAAAAGTGGATGACATCATGAGGGAAAAGAATCTCAAGAGTGTTGAGGACATCGCCAAACTGCGGGGCGCCAAATATCTCGCTCCCATCGGCCCATGGGATGACTACTCGATAACTGATGGCCGTGTTGTCACTGGTGTGAACCCAGCATCTGCGCACTCGACTGCTGTTAGAGCCATGGAGGCCGCTCAAGGTTCCCAGGCCTAGAAATGTACACATGTTCAATTGTATCATCACGTGATCGACGTGACAGAATAAAATAGGACGGAGCTGAACGGACGGTTTATGATCAAGATGAAGTTGGAACAGTGGTACACAAATTGTATAAAAAGAGCCGATATGACCAGGATCGTAGTGCTCATGGTTGTAAGACAGCCCCGGAGAGATATAAGTACTCAATACCCTATTTGTCTTATCATTAAACTCAGCTATGAAAGCATTAAATGCGCACTTCAGAAACCTATCAACCACCGACAACGGTAAACCCCAACAACACATCTATGCTCTGTTTCGTCTACCGTGGGTACATTACGTAATCTTCAAAGTCAGCGCCCATGGTGTCACGTGACCACTGCGACAGAACACGACGTTTTCGTAGCGCCGCCTTTGTTTAATGTTTCTACCCCAAAGACTAGCTTTCAACACAATCCCACCCGCCACAAATCCCGTAGGTTGTTCAGCGAAAACACACAATGTACCCGATGGCCACCCACACACCTCCTCCCGTGCTGCGCGTTATTTTCGCATCTCCGCATACCATTGTTTACCTTTTGCCCCTTGCGCTCTAGGCAAGCGACTCCGCGGCTCGCGCCGAGGCGTAAGCCTCGGCTCGTGCCTCGGCTTGTATCACTCGCCGGTACCGGTATGTCACGAATCGCGTTTGCATTCCTCCTGCACGGAGTGACGTTGGGCCGAGGCCGCATGAGGAAACGCATAGAAACCCGTCTGGGCCGAGGATCGTGCAGCCGAGATCCGCACTTGGCGGTATCTTGGCACGGGAGCCACTGGCAACTGGCCGCAGCCCCGGGGTTTAAATAAGCTCACACCCGTTTTGATGCATGATGCCGTCAGCAGCAGATCTTACCCGCGGGGGCATCAGCGTCTGTGGTTCCTTCGCCCAACACGAAAATCGGAGCCAGAGAATCACAGTGGAAACGCGAAGAGGGCAAAGAGAGCCAAGACAATGAGTAGGAGCAACCGCGTTCAGGACCACCAAAACAAAGCCCTTTGCGGAGGTCGCGGAGCTAGCACCGCTTGTACCAGCAACCAAAAGTATAAAGGGGCAGCGGTAGTCGTAGGAGGTACGTATCTGGGTTTCTGGTTTTTCGTTTTCAGTCTTGGTTAGTCCACAGCTCCCCACCAATGAAAACCTCTACACTCGCTACATCTATCGCTGCTGTTGCAGGCGGCGCAAGCGCCGCCTTCACCAACTCGTCGCTTCCTGTCGGAGTCAGCGGCGCTGACATCGTTTCGCTAACGACGGGCTCGCACACTTCCTACAGTTACACGTACCCTTTCGTCGCGACCATCCAGTTCGAGGTCACCGCCGCAGGCACCGGGTGGTTCTCGATCCCCTCGGTGCTCGGTGACGTGCCTGATGAGCAGTCGTACACGTTCCCGTACGGAACGATCAACAACGATGGGGGTAACTACTCGGTCGACTTTACATCCGTGCCTCCATCGGGCAAGTACAACGTCAGTTTCTCGGCGTCGACTGCTTCGCTAGACACGTTGCAGCCGGGCCCAATGGAAATGACGTTCGGATCCAACGAGGGCGACTACAACGTGACCATCGACTTTGTGCCTCTCCCAACCGACAAGCCTGTGTTCAACAGTCAGATCGACGTCTCGGACAAATACCTGACCTACTACTTGAACATCCCAGCCGAGATCTGGGAGGGCTCTTTCTCGTTGTCCGCGTCTGCCGACTCCCCTTACTCGTTCGACCCCAACAACGTCAACGTCCTGTTCACCAGAAACGGCACTGACCCATTCAACGACCCAGCGGGCTCCGGTACCTACGACAGCGTCTACCAACATGACTTGAAGACCTACACCGTCACCGCGTCCGACCTCCAGGTCGCTTTCGAAGGCAACCTAACCACCGTCTACACCGAGGGCGGCGTCGACGACGACAACATCGACTACTCAGACGTTTTCATCAAGTTCAACGTCGACTTCTCCTCGTTGCAAAGCGTCTACCAATTCGACGCCAGCTTGACTTTGGGCAGCGCCGGCTCCGTCGCCAAGAGAGACACCCCTTACTCTTTCACCAACGTCAACTACGGCCCAGGCTTCTTCTTCTCCACCCCATCGCTACCATCCACCGGCGGGGGCTCCGGCAGCTCCGGCAGCTCTTCTGCGTCCGGCTCTGCCTCTGCTTCTAGTAACGGCACCGCCACTGCCACTGGCTCAGCTACTGGCTCCGCTACCGGTTCCGCTACTGGCTCTGCCTCTGTTTCTGGTAACGGCACTGCCACTGCCACCGGTTCTGCCTCTGGCTCTGCCACCGGCTCTGCTACTGGTTCCGTCACTGGCTCCGCTTCTGGCTCTGGCTCTGGTTCCGCTACTGGTTCCGTCACCACCACCTCCACCACCGCTCTCTCGACCACTGTCATCACCACCTGTACTGCTTGCGCCAAGAAAACCACTGCCGTTGGTATTTCCACTGCTACCGTCACCACCAACGGTGTCGTCACTGAATACACTACTTACTGTCCACTCACTGCCGAGACTTCTCCAAAGCCTACCATGGTTTCTGGAACTTCCGTTGTCCCAACGGTGGTGATTTCTTCCGTTTCCGGAGGTGTCTACACCGTTTACACCACCTATTGCCCATTGACTGCTGCTACCGCCACCGAGGCCGCTGCTGCTCCTTCGTCATCGGGTGCTTACACTCCATCTTCCGTTTTCGTGTCCACAGCGGCTGCTGGTTCTACCTCTTCCATTGTTGGCATCTCCACTTACTCGGCAGGTGCTAACTTTTTGAAATTCAACGGCGTTGCCGCTTTGTTGGGTCTCTTGGCGCTAATTTAAAAGGTTGCCTAAAATTAATAAAATGATATGCCATCTACCTTAACGTTAGATCTGCGTGTTTTCAGTTCGTTTAGTACCCATTCAAGCTTTCTGCCGATTTTGAGGACCATCGAAGTCTGTGAATTAAACGTCATCAGATTCTCCTGCTTCATTATGGGCATATAATTAAAGTTGCACTTTTTAACTTTTATCCATAAGTTACTTCTGTTCCTGGCGAATAAGAAGCAAATCGTATATTCTATTCTTGACTTTCGCTGTCTCATAGAGCCCTTCATATTCTCAGATTTAGTTTCTGGCTTGATATGATTATGGTTTGTTGTGCTATATTGGCGGAACCCTTTGCGATTGTAGTGAAATGCTGACATTCGAAATCTCTTGATGATGAATTTGGTTACATTCCTGCGCATTGCGTGAAAGTCGCTAATTGTCATAATTCATATTTACAAACAGTCCTATCAGAGCTCACCTCGCCGGCCACGTCTCCAGCATCGAAATGAAGTCGCGAACCGAGTTTCAGCCAAAAACTAGTTCGATCTTCAGGGCTTGCATATGAATTCCTTCATAGCATTAAGTTCCTACTCTTGATGGATGAAAAGGCCTTGCGCTAGATTGCTCAAAATTTCCTGCGAGCTCAAGCACTCGTCCCGCCCCATCTCCATTTGATTAACACCTTGGCCGCACAGATTAAAGTCTACCATTGCGGGGAATTTTGATCTTAACGACTTAAACTCACTGTACCTGTAGCCGTAGGGGGGTAAGTCCTCATCGTGGCTTAGGTTCACTAGCTTTTCAATAAATGGTGTCAGCAGAGTTCTCGCCGGTAGCCCCGAGGGAAGTGGAGTCATTAGAGTGCATTTCCTATCGTCAGAATTTATCAGATTACGGAAAAATCGGCAGGACTGAGACTCCTTTGCTGCTAAGAATGCAGTGCCCAACTGGCAAGCAGAAGCGCCTTGATCCAAGTAGAACTGAATAGTCTGAGAATCCATAATCCCACCGGCAGGGATAAGAAACGATTCGCTTCCCAGTTTGACCTTAAGTTGCTTTAGTTTCTTGAACAGACATAGCGTAGAAAGACACTCATCATATTTGGCATCAGTGTCCGGAAATCTGCCTCGGTGTCCACCAGCCTCATAACCCTGGCAAACGATACCGTCAACACCAAATTTGAGAACCTGTTCTCCCTCAAACTCATTGGTAACCGTCACGAAAACGGAAATCCCAAGCTTTTTCAACTCTTCGATAAAATGCGAAGAAGGACACCCGAAGTGGAAGCTGATCACGCCGGGTGTGAATTTGTTCTGGAAAAACGCCAGCAGAGACTTAAGAATATCTAAATTCTCTTTAGTTTCGATGGTTTGGAAACTTACGTTACCATTATCAAACCGAAATCCTGTACCTAATTCTTCAGATCCCAAAATTTTAGAGTAAAGCTTCTTCCAATTCTCTTTCTGTGACGTTGTAGGTCTAGGGTAAATAGGATGACAAAAGAAGTTCAGGTTGACATTTTGTGCATTGACAGCACCTTTCTCAGCAAGAAAAACATTCAAGGCTTTGCCAATTTCCAACACCGCGGATTTTTTTTGGAGATTAACGTGAGATAAACTTAAAGATCCCATACCACCCCTAGCTGCAACTGCGAATGCCATCTCGGGCGTTGTCACGCCGGCCATTGGGGCTTGTACAATAGGATACCTAAGCTTAAAAGTCTTCAGAAACTTGTTACACTCTTGATGCATCATGAGAATTTGTCCAAGAAGCCCTCATGCGTGAGCACTTTTCACATCAAGCTTTGTTTCCTCTCAGGAAAGTGGGCTTCCCCATTGTAATGATATCGTTAGAAGATATTAAACCTAAAGTTAAAAAACCATGCTAACAGCAGTTTTGATACACATTCAAGAATGAAATTCTGCCGCTATACCAAAACAGCAGTTGATCTCAGAGTTTTCGACAATTAAGAGAATATATTCAGCTCCTTTAACGTATTTTTCCTCCGATTTCCGCACAGAAAGCCTTGAATTTAACGATCTCAATCATTGACATATTGAAGGCTTTTTGAAGGGTTCAGTATAGACAATTACACAGATTAACTCGACGCACGCCATATTCTTGAAATTTTAGGTGATGAACGACTTTTGAAATCTTAACAAACTTTGTCAAAGCGAAAATGACAAGAGCGTTATTTATCTGAACAGGCGGTGTGGATTATGTCAACGCTTTGGAACAAGAGGCAACATTAAAAAACCAAATCCTACTCCTTTTTGCTCATTTCGATAAACAAGCTTGCAAGCGCTGAATCAACTTGGGCTACGTGTTTCACACTGTCTTTTTGAAAACGTTTACTCGGTTTAAAATAAAAGGCAATTTACAAATAGCCTCAACTACAACAAAATCGCTACAGAAAGGTCAAAATCAAAAGTTCTGCTTACGCTGTTGTGTCCAAATTACAGAACAATCAAGGCCCAGACGCACGCAGCGCGAGCAGCATGGCTCTCGGGATTTACAGCCTTCCTTTGCTGGAAACGCCACATGACATTGACAGTGACAGACAAGAACGACAGTTGCTGATTCAAATAGCAAAAAAACGCGAATGCCCCTACACTTCGATAAATGGCGTGTTTGAATAAAGAAAGTCACACGCAGGCGGCTAAAGAGAGCAAGAAAAACGGATTTTCATAACATTTTTTCACTATTTCATTCAACGCACTCAAAACAAGTGCTCAATTGAAGACTTTGGTGTTCTGTTCCTTTTTTCGCAAGGATTGGCCTGGTTCGGAGAGTCTGGGAACTAAATAGGGCGGGAAAATAATAGCACTGGCAATGCTAAAAGTGGCAACATCACGAGAACCACTTTTCAAAACAAATCCTTCGGACAAATGCGCACTGTGAATACGCGCCTAGTTAGGGCCAATTCCATAACCAGAATGATTTCTGTCGACCCCCAAACATTCATTGAGAACGTTCTTTGAGTTTAGCCAGTGCTAAATCGGCGGGTGAGGTAGCCGGCCTTCCCAGCAACCACTCTGCCACTCCAGGGTTCCCATACAAGCCGCGACTGTTATAGTATATCAGCATCCTTTCGGGACCGTCTTTATACTGCTGATCCATTTCCTGCCCAGCAGTCTTGCTCTTGGTAAAGATCTCACACGCTTGCTCAAAGGGCATCTGTTGAATTTCAAATTCTATTCCCAAGGCTTCGCCCACTTGCGTGATAAACTCGGTCGTCGTAATAGGAAAGGTCGCGACGATCTGATACGTGGCGTAGAAATGTCTGGCTCTCTCAGTAATAACCTTGACAACGATGTCCGCAAGGTCGCGAACTGTAGAAAACGACATCGGCGTGTTTGGATTAAAGGTCGCTTTGAAGAGGCCCTTCTTGTGGGCAGAAGACGCGGCCTGGTCGACTAAGACACCGATGAAGTTGTCCATGAACGTGCTGGGCTGAAGGATCGTATAAGACAGGCCAGACTCCGTCAGATACTCCTCTATTGGGCGTTTATGCGTGTGATTCAGCATTTTGCTCAGCTCCGGATGTATAGCCGAGGAAAAGATAAAGTGTTTAAAAGCTTTGTTCGTTTTAGTCTCCTCGACCGCAGCATCTATCATGTTCATTCCAAGCGTCACTTCGTAAGGGTGATAGGGCGGTCCGATGAAAACAATGGCCGTCGCACCGTGCAGAATCTTCGAACAGTCATCTGGTGACCGCAGGTTGGCCTGGACCACTTCCGCTGCAGGCCACTGCTTTGAGAGGCGCTGGAGCGATGAAGTCGAGTTCACTACAAGCCGAAGCAAGTATGATGGTTTGCCGTACAGAAGAGGTATAATTCCGCTGCATTGCCGACCTGAGGCGCACGTTAGGACGATGAGCTCCGTCATCTGTCAGCAGATTTAAAGGCTAGTTCCCGTTGTACAGCGATCACTGCAGTGGAGGTTTACCGTGTACAAGCGGAGATCGCACTTATCAAAGCGAACATGCCGGCTTTTAAGCCTGATTTGGAATACCTGTCGACAAGCGTATATTTTGCGTTTCGGCATGATGGTCACTGCTTGCAGTCTATCACGCCGTTTCACATATCAGTCTGGTCTTCCATGACGTGTGCAACCAAACTTGATTCTGTAGTTCCGCATCCGATACCCCTGTAAGTTATAATTTCATGTGGTGTTGCCATTGCAAATAGGGATTTTACCCATTGACAGCCCGGCGCATTCATCTTCTTACATGCCTCTTTCGACGATACGTCGCAACTCCGTGTGTAGATCATCAAACACAGCGGTGGTAGCGTAAGCTCTCCAATTAGAGAGATGCAGTCCTCACTGATCTATGGGACAGAAGTGGGCAACAGAGGCAACTGAGAACGGTGTGATCCTGCTGTAGTATGGTTACAGAGATATCCAACATTACTGAAAAGTCAGCTCTCTTGGAGCCCTTACTGTTCGTACAACGAATGCCGTCCGTCAAGGTCAGTCGTATATTTTTAGGCCAAACATGCAACGCATCCGAGCGACAGCAGAAATATATACGACTTCAACAATATCATGGTGTCCCTGGCCAAAAAATCATAAGAGCGACAATCAGTTGGAATCATGATGTGAATTTTATCAAAGCTAAGGTGTCACGCCCAGACAACGATACAGCGATATAATGCGTAGCATCGAGATGTCTAGCTCTCTCCCCGCCCAATGACGTTTAAAGTCCCTTTTTAGAGCTAGGAAACCTGTCTGCTTGATCTACAAGCCCATGGGGTTGCCCATAAGCGTCCGAGGATAGGTTTCATACAGGGTGTGCCAGGTACTCCCAGATGTTTCTCGGGCGGGTCCTTCTGTTCGTGGTTCAGCAACGCGATCAGCGGGCGTAACTGGACATGAAGATGAAGTGGTTGAAGCGCTTGTTACTTCTTGCCTCTCTCGTAGCAGCTTCTATCACATCTATGTTGATATTTGGCTCACAGAAGTGGAACCGCGGCGCGATGGAGATCATTACCCCGCGCCATCTAGGATATCTGCAGCCATCCGGAGACAGCTGGTAGATTTGCACTATCTGCGCTATCGGCCACAATTTTGAACGGCGATAACGTGATGAAGTCTGGTCTACTACAAGGCGGAGAGATTGCGATGGGAGGTTGTACGCAACAATAATGCCGACCCGAGGTGCACGTTCGAGCGTTCACTATTGTTGAAGAGTGCTTGGAAGTATTGAAGCCTGATTTGGATATCAGTCGGCAAGTTTACTACTATTCTTACGGCATGATTTTCTGTTGCATTGCATGCGGTTTCTTATGTCATCTCACATATTGGTTAGGCGTTCGGTGACATCTGCAGCCAAATTTATTTTTGGAGTTCCGCACCAAGTACCCCAGGAAGTCGACATTTCATGCGGCGCTGAAATTGCACATCCAGGTGTTAGCGTGTGACACGCAGAGATCCGACGTTCGCCGTTGGGTTGGACGTTAGAGTTCCATATGCCGATCTTTAGAACGACCGTGATAACATAGGCTCGTTAATTTACGAAGTGTAGGTCTCCGTGTTCGTTTCTCAAACGTCTCATGCAACCAAAAGATAGACACTAAGATATGGCCTTGGCTGAAGAGTGAACTCGCTTCGTGCTCGTTAATCCTCTCAGGATAAGCACTGTTCATTAGAAATCACTTAATTTTATTCTGACACTATAGGCACGTGACTCTGGCGAGTCCAGACTCGGCGTTTCCTTCCTATATAGACTAAGCATGCAGGCGGGTAAGCAAAGGACTTGCCATAGGTATCAGCATTACTCGTCAGCTTTCAATAATTGGTAGATCATCAAAAGACTCTCACTGCTCCTTTCAGAGATCATATGGAAACGCCATCATCTCTGGGCCAGCTTGGCAAATCCCAGGACTGGACTCATTCCGTACCTAGCGCCAAAAATGTTATTCCCAGAAACCGTAACCTAAAATCCGCACGTAGGCAACAAAAGAACTGCACGAACTTGAGTTTCGCGATGTGGTGAAGGTCATCGTCAGGGCAGAATTTCCGAGGAGTCGGATCACGGAGCTTGTCGCGACAAGGGCCATTTCCTGTTACGCAACGTTCGCTCGGGAATCCCGCAGATCCAAAGTGTACCCTAGATCAACAGCCTCGGTTATCGCTTGCCATTTGCAGAGATTTCCCTTGCTGTGACGTATCAGCGAAAAGTGCCTAGGGCAACTCCGGGAATTTTCGGGCTGTCCTTGGCAATTAGCAAGAAACCCGGAGGGTGATCTACATGTCGGATCAAAGAAAACCGACAAGTAACAGTTACTATCGCTATTACCATGGTACCGGTGCCTGGGAAGGTGAAGGGTGCTTTCAATAGAGACCATGCCGCGGCGAAAGCCATAGTCCAAAGATTTACGGATAGTTACTGCCTGTGTGCCTGTGTGCCTACTACGAATAATACGCAAGCAATACTGCAGTGGAGTGCTATATATAGCAAACACCCAAACACCGCTCAAACTCAAAGTGGACTCGTGCGTAGATAATGATAGAACATCACATGATGTCGTCGGAAAGTCGACGTATGTTATGATTTAATCACGTGATCTAGAGATCACTATCGCCATAGACACGGGCTTCTCACCAATTCGAACAGCCACCGCTGCGCCGCGAGATCTCCAAATTCCTCGTAGGTAATCAGGGACCCACTTCAGAGCCTGAAAACAATGTGTTACAATAACTTAAATAGGCTCTTCATAAAACACCCCGGCCTACAAAGCTACGCAGGCGGCTTCGTCGCCTGCTTCACGAACCTAAACGCGTGCTGCGTCTTCAAGTCACAGAGACGTTGAAGGTTGGGCTTCCGGGAGTCACCTCGACGATCGCAGGACCGTATAAGACGCCAGAGTCGGTGAGGTTAGTGGAGCTGTCGTCAGAAGTTACGAAAGCGTATGATTGGCCGGACAGCTGAGGAGGCACCATGCACGTGATCTGGTTACCAGAGACCGACGCCGTGACGGGCACCGTGTCGAGTCCCGAAAGAAAGGTCACGTACGCTGGAGATGGCACAGCGGGCCCACCCGCCGCGACCGTGAACGCGACGGATTCGTTGGGCGCCACAGGCAGGCCCTGTGCGAGCGTGAGCTCCGGGAATCTTTGCACGTCGATGTGGGCTGTAGGCGGACAGCTCACTATGAACGGCGACGCGGCAGAGTAAGCCGTGCGCGCGCTCAGCGCCGTGCCGAAAGGATTCGCCATGGGAATTTCTCCCGCAGCGTTACGAAAAGCACCCTGGTGCAGCGACTCGGTGACCACGATGGACGCGGCCGCGGTCAGGTACTGCTTGGACGCGAGCAGAGGCGCTGCGCCCACGTACGCTCCTCCACCGACCCCTTCGATTACTGCGGCCTTCTTGACAAAGTCTTGCGGACCCGAGAGGTTAAACTGGTAGCTGCACGCTGGGACAGGCTCAACACCTGCGGCGCGCAGTGTGTCCTCCAGGAAAAGCACGTGACGCTTCTCGTTGTGCGTGATGTATTTTACCTGCGTGAAAAACTCCGGTGTGAAATTGGCCGCGACGAAGTCGTCCTGTGTCCACATGGACAGAGCCTGCTTGTAGAACGCATTTTCAAGGTGTTCCAGTGTAAGAGCGAACTGAAGAATATCCACGTCTGTGTCATTGCTGCTGGTGCGCAGCAATGTCGACGCTGGCGCCGCCAACGCCAGCGCTGCGAAACTGAGAACTGTGCCTGTTAGTGCGAATCTCATGGTGAAATCTCAGATGCTTTTTGGCGCTTGGAGCCTTCCCTAGGAGCCACTCTTCTTGGCGCACTCGCTTTATATAGTTTTAGCGGTAGCAATTTTAAGCTTTTTCACACTGTGGAGAAACTTTGAGAGGCCATACAATGCGATGCGCTTTTCAATGTGTTGTTAGGGGCGACTAAAACGGTCACGGTGCCTAAAGCCGTTCCTGCAAAACTGCGAAGTCTTGCGATACGACATGCAAGGAACACAGCTCGTAGCCAATAATCGGGCGGTTAGTGTAGTGGTTATCATCCCACCCTTCCAAGGTGGGGACACGGGTTCGATTCTCGTACCGCTCATTTTTTGCTTTTTACGATCTGTACATTCAAAGCTTACTTTGACGGAACGGTAAGGTCCTGTTGGTTTCGACGCCGTTGGAATTCCTTATATTTCCCCTCAATTTTGATGGTCTGTCATTCGTCAAGTGGGCGGGTGGGTCGGTTCGGTGGAAATCACGTGACCCCGACGACAGAATAAGAAAGTAGCAACTGCAGGTGGCCAATGAGTGGCATTTGTGACTTGCAGAGGTTTGAATCAGCCCATAGGTCTGAAAACGCATCTATATCCCCTACGTTATGCATCCCCTCATGGGGTATTGGAGTACGTAGTTAAAGCTGCGACATCTCTTGAAGTCGATTTGCGTTTGAGTAACCGTACTACAGCTCGATTTTGCGATGGTGCGCTACCCCGACCATCTGCACAACCGTCTGAGCTGACAGATATGCTCTGGTTAGGCAAATCAGGGACGGAGCTACAGTGAAGGTAGCGACTGCGGCCAGAAGCCTGCCCAGGCTCACCGCTTCCCATACTCGGAAACGCGAATAGAAAATCAACCTAAATGACACTTCACAATTTTAAAAAGCACGTTTCCTTCATAGGACGACGTGCTATTACCTATAAACTACCCAGGCGGACGAAGCCGCCTGCTTGCCTAACCAAAATCCGTGTGACACCCTCAGGTCACAGAAACGTTGAAAGTGGGGCTTCCGGGAGTCACTTCGACGATCGCTGGCCCGTACAAGATATTCGCATCAGTTAGATTAGAGGATCTGTCAGACGAGATAAAAACGTACGACTGTCCTGAGGCCTGCGAGGGTACGACGCACGTGATCTGCTTACCAGAAACCGACGCAGCGACCGGTACCATGTCAAGTCCCGAGTAGAAGGTGACACACGCTGTCGAGGGTAGCGTGGGCCCGCCTGCTGCAACATTAAACGTGGCGGACTCGTTGGGTGCCAACGGCAAGCCTTGGGTGAGCGTGAGCACTGGGTAACTTTGCACGTTGAGCTTAGCTGCGTCAGGACAGCTCACGATAAACTGTGACGCCGCAGAGTACACGGCTCGCACGCCTAGTGGAGTGCCAAATGGGTTCGCCATGGGCACTTCTCCGACCGCACTCCGTAACGCGCTTTGGTGCAGCGACTCTGTAACCAAAATCGATGCAGCGGCAGTCAGGTACTGTTTGAACCCTATCAAAGGCGCAGCGCCCGCGTACGCACTCGCGCCTACACCTTCGATAATCGCTGCCTTTGCAATAAAATCTTGCGGTCCCGAAAGGTTAAATTGGTAACTGCAAGCCGGAACTGGCTCTGCACCTGCGGCGCGAAGTGCATCCTCTAGAAAAATCACGTGCCTCTCTTCATCGTGCGTAATATATTTCACCTGTGAAAAGAAGCTCTCTGAAAAGTTGGCCGCGACGAAGTCTTCCAGCGTCCACGTTGAGACTGCCTGCTTGTAAAAGGCGTTCTCTAGGTGTTCCAAAGTCAGGGCGAACTGTAGCACCCCGACATCTGTATTGTTTCCGCTGCGGCGAACCAAAGTAGTTGGTGCAGCTAATGTGAGCGCAGCCAAGCCCGCAGCCGTGCCTGTAAAGTTAAATCTCATCGTGCAGATTTCACCTTGAATTTGGCACATATGCACTGAAATACTAGCGCGCAGCGAGCCAGCTTTATACCGCGCTTGCCATAGCAAAAAATTCGCTACAGGCGTTAGGCAAGCTTTGGGAAGCGATACAATGAGATGTCGTCACTTTCTATTATTTTATCGTTGAATGTTCCGAAGGCAATGGCAGCAGGAACACCCATATCACGCAGCAGCTGAAACCCGTTCGTCCTATATGCTCTCTCTCGCTAAAAAGGCGGTCAATATACCGGTAACTATGCCACCTTTTCAAGGTGAGGAAATGCTTCTCATCGTAGCAAGAGTTTTGTGCTTGGGTATGGGTGCCAATTTTGAGTGGGATTGGCCAGGTGCATGCCAGGTTTTGCCCATGCCGATCCTCCCATCTGCTATTGCTACGATTGAAGATCGTGTGCGTAGTTGAGGAAGGATCTGTCGTGTAGATTTAACGTTTAACATGATGAGGCTATGTTGGAGTGTGCGAAAGAACACTCACAGAAAAGAGTCCTGAGCAGTGCAATATTACGGTAGCACACTCGTAATGATCGGCTAAGAGCGCTGCAATGTTTGTTTCTATAAGCATGCGAAATATGTGACGGGCCGACGATTGCTCTCTATTACCGGGGCTTCCTTACCTTTTCAACTCCCAGGGCGGCCATCCAGAAGAGCTAAGGCTTAGAAATAATGTTCGTTTTAATCTACATAAGATACACGAGATTGAGCCACCTCATCGAGTTGTGAAATTTCCTTCTCCAAAAGATTACTACGAAGAAAATTACAGAAATCATCGCCAAGCACTTTCCCCAGAGCCCTTAAAAAACACAAGCAGAGACACAACGTTACCAGAGTGAAAAAAAATTACGTAGCAATAAGCAAACTACAAATTTCCAAGCGATCTCATATTCTGCTCTGGGAAGGAGTTTATATCGGGTGATGTCGCCGATTTATACGGAATTCGAATAGTCACGTGACCACGGCGACTAAATAAGGCCTGAACAAGCTAGAAGCTGGAGTCTACGCTGCAGGAGCACGAAGGAAAGCGGTAATCACGACGGAGCATACGGAGCGCATCAGAATTAGAGGTGCGACGGTTGATGCGTAGGGAAAAACTTCAGTTACTTATCTTAGCGGAAGTTATATTAGGTGAGTGGATGATCTCACTACAAGGGCATACAAGCGCACAATATGAGTGCTTTACGAGCAACCACCTTGTATGGCCCAACATTGGCGGAGGGTTCTACGCCAAAGATTTTCTAGCTTTCAATGCTAGAGAATCAAAAAGCACACGATAATCATGAAAAGTTGGTAGAACATAGAAACGGCAAACAAAGAACGTCAATTTACGTTATCCCGACAAATTCAGTTAACAATACACGGTTACTTTGCTGGCAAAGGAAATGGTTGGAGGGGTATATTTGGATGAGTGTTCAGGCTCTATCTGAGAAGGTACCCACAGAATACCTATTAAATGCTCTACGCAAATGGCAAATTCGTCACATACTCGTGAGTACTCATTTCTCTCCAAAATGTGCTAGACTCGCTCTGCCATGATCCTGAGACTTTTCTAATATGGGCTACGTTTCCTGAAGGTATGAGATGTGCATTTCGGACACTTACCGCCTGAGAGCATTAAATTTTAGAAGTATGCAAAAGATGGCCGCAGCATTGCAGCTGAAGCTTATGTCCTGGTAAGCGATAATATTCAAACCAATGCGCTTAACAAGTATTTCAACTTTGACCTCATAAGTGGTCGAAAATGTATAGATTTCAGCCCATTCAGGAGTTTATTTAAACGCGACTGACTTTCTTACTGCTTAATTTTCCAGCCACTGTTATACGCCTCTCTGAAGCGTACCCAACAAAGACAGAAAAAGCTCACAGCGAAAAGCACCCCATTGTATACTATTGCATTGCGATAGTCTGCTGCTCTGGCATTTTTATTTGATATTAACAGTCCAGCAATGGGCGACCCCAGAAAAGTGCCGATACCCCTGCAGAAATAAAGAAACCAGGAAGTCGCCTGATAATTTTGAACACCAAAGAGCTCAGCCATGCAAGTTGGTAGAAGAGAGACTATCGGGCCTGATGCTACGCCATAACATATCACAAACGCGATGAAAGCACCTCGAGTGGTTACGAGCCACAGAGCAAAGATCGTAATACAACTCAGTAGACCGCATATCACAAGCATATTCAAGCGACCAAATCGATCTGAAAAAAATCCAACAACAACTTTAGAAAGGGCATTAACAGTGTTATTAATCCCAATGAAAACGGCACCCTGGTTATAAGTGAATCCCAACGTCTGCGCGTACGATGACATAAAATAAGTAGGTATCAGATAGCCAGCAGATTGCAAAGAGGCGCCCATCATGTGCAGGATGAACTTGTCACTGGTCATAACTTTCAAGTTCAGTCTAGGGGGATTTTTGACCTTGGCAGCCGCAGTCCGATCATAAGGGTGAACCAAAAGGCTTGCCGGGGCGAGGGCAGCAAATCCGATAATGCCACATATTCTTAAAGCCCATTGCCATCCAAATTTTGTAATTAGATACCTTGTCAGCGGTGCCAACGCAAGGCCACCAGCCCCCGTACCAGAAAACAACAAGCCCATTGCGATACCTCTGTGCGAGGTAAAATAGGGTGGGGCATGAACCACCGGAGGCAGGTAAACCATCGAACCTCCAATCCCAAACAATAGACCCTGACTGAGCGAAAATTGCCACAATTCATGGGCAAATGAAGCCGCAATAAACCCCAGAGACATCAGAATGGCCCCAGAAAGCATAATTTGGCGAACAGAAAAGTAAGCAGATAAACCGGTATTCAACAGGGTCAGCATGTATGTTAGCGCCGTGGCTACAGTTCCTATAACCGAAACGGATGAAGTAGATCGTCCCGACAGAGGGCCACTTTGACTTAGGTAAAAATCTTGAAATACACCAAAAGTGAATGCAAACCCGAATACGAAGAAGTTCGCGATGAATCCAGCTGCCACTATCATGTAGCCTTTTTGACGAGAGGACAAGCCTTGATTGCTTGGTAGCCGCCCTTGAGCAGCCATTTCCATTTGCTCCTGCTCGCTGTCCTTCATGGAGACGTCGAAGGGCGTTGAAGAGGTGTAGTGGGTTTTAGTTTGAGATCCAACTTATAATTGAAATCCGTGTTGATCAAAGAAATGATTGGAACCCGACCATGCGTCCTCCGTGCCAGTAGCATAAAGGTATGACTCGATTAAGGTGTGACACGACTTATAACTTGCGATGAGTCAGAAAAATCGTTGCAAGCTTCAGGCGAGGGAAGCTCGATAAATAATTGCGGTGATTTAAATGGAAAAATAACTCTCAACAGGGCAGTTGAAATCTGGGGGCGTTCTTGCGTTTGGAAGACTTAGGAATTAAGGAAGTGTGCCCCCGGTTAATGAAATCAACGATATTATCAGTTATATCATGGATATATCACGTGATTATATTGTCAGATAAAACGAGACAACTGAACCAACCGATGAGCTGACGAAGTTGACCATTATTGTTGAGGTCCGCTATTGTCGATGGTTGTCCATCTAATTTGTTCATAGTTGACTATTGGGGTTGGAGTTAGTCGAACCTTTACTCGATCACGTAAAATGAAAATCGGTTATCCAGCATCCATATCTGCAAAGTAAAACTTTAAACCTCGAAAACCCGAGAACGGTGCGAGACGCCATTAACTTCTATGTTAACGCACATCTAGGCTCTTTGGTTATGCTTGGCATACTTAAGACTTTCTTAACCATTGCTGTCTATGGACGGCAAAAGCCGTCCATAAGTCACGCTGTTCACTGCCATTGGCCAGATTTCGATGTCCAATGCAGCCCAGTTGTCGTCAAAACAACAGGATAAGCTCAACTTATTTTTGGTATCGTTACGGAGATATACTTGCCAGGAACTTCGTGTGCGATGAGTGTGCGGGGAGTGTGCGGTGATCTTATATATAAGGTTGCTTAAATCCATTTCAATCACCGCGGGTTTCTTCAGTTTGCCACTCTATTAGATCAGAACAATAAACAATGGCCGAGTCTGCACCGGGTTACAGCAAGCTCTACATGGCGAAAGAGGCCCTGTATGGGTTCAGGCCCTGTCCAGCTGAGTTTTTACCGAAGGATTATCCGGACCTTTCCAACAAACTTGCAGTCGTGACGGGCATGAATACTGGTATTGGTCTAGAAGTTGTGAAACTGTTGTATTCCAAGAACTGCAATGTTATTGGAGTCGTGAGATCGACTGAAAAAGGTTTATCGGCGCGCACGAAGATACTCGAAGAAATAAAAGAGAGTAAAGGATCGATAGAAGTTATAGGGAATTGTGAGCTTTCTGATTTAACGACTATCAAGTCTGCTGCGTCTGAAATTACCCGCGCCGTTGCGGGAAGGCCCATCAGTATCATCATACATAACGCAGGCATTATGCCTGAGAGCAATCGGGGCGTGTCGAAACAGGGGCACGAGCTTATTTTCGCCACCAATGTTATGGGTCCGCAGCTGCTGCAGCATTTCCTTGACCCGCTTTTCTTAAAATCTGACGACTCCCTCAAGAGAATTGTGTGGGTTTCCTCCGGCGCGCATTTCTTCGGCTTCAGCCAATATGGCATTAATTGGGAAAATCCTACCTTCGAAGGCGTAGATTTGAAAAGCAGGCCAAGCAGCATGAGGCTTTATGGTCAATCTAAGGCTGCCAACATTTTTCAAGCGAAAGCCTGGGCTACTCGCAATGCGGATATGGTAGAGAATTTAAAATGTGTGTCTGTGTCTTGCTACCCTGGTAACATCCGCACCGAGCTACAACGAGACATGGAGAACTCCATGCTGATGCGCTTCTTAAAGCCGCTTCTTTACGGCCCTGAGTATGGAGCTTATACCGAATTGTATGCAGCTTTATCTTCAGAGCTGACCTCAAATTCTCAGGGTGCCTACGTCGTGCCTTTTGGGAAAATTCACGAGCCCCGTGAAGACATCAAGGCTGGTTTGCAGAATGGCACTGATTTGAAGCTCTGGGATTGGGTCGAGAAGAAAATTGAAAACTATTTCTGAGTCGAAAATTACCACAATATGGATGCATATTGAGGTTGACGGGCCTCGGTGGCCAACAGTTTTATACATTGTGTCAGGAGATTCATTCGAAGTATTCTTGATAGTATATATGGAATATGTCCGTGATTATGTTGATAAATGCACGGCCCTCGATCCAGGACTGGGGACGAGAGCGGGTAGTAAACGGGCAGTATTCATATACGGATCGAGTAGTTCTTGGGTATATATTTTAATATTTACAAATCATTTAAGGATATTTCGAATGCATCGTTCGGATGCAACGCGGATGGACAACTTGTTAGTTCAACAAAGCGTCCGTAAATCGAGAGCAAAGCATTAATCTTACCTAAGTAGTGATGAATTCTATTGATATGCTAGCTTTAACTATTAATACTCGAGATCGTCGTCATCCGATTGAGAGTGGCATTCCATATAGTCATCGTCCTCATCAGAATCTTGGAAATTGAATGTCAATTTCTGGTCTAGGAGGCCCCAGCCCTTGAAGCGATTTCTAAGAACTAGCAACCTGTTAAAATTTAGACTGCTAATACTTCTTTTTTTACGAAAAACTTTCCCGCTGATGGAAAATGCCCTCTCCAGACCGCCTGTGCTAAATTTTGTGTATAGAAGGGCCACCGCAAGCCTGAATAAATTGGGATATGCGCCACGGCGTTCGTACCACCATTGTATCAGGTCCTCTTTGAAGTCCAAGGTATGTCGCTCTTCTGCTTTATACTTGTCCCACTCACTGACTGCCTGATTGCACATAGAAGCCTCTGCATTATGTGAATGCTTCTCGCGCCGGTTGATCGTGGGTAATTTGGTGACTCGATGACGCGTGCCTCTAACAGATCTTTTGGCAAGTTTAGTTGATGTAATGACCTTTCGCGGTTCGGACTTCTTGAGGTAAGACTTCAAATACCTTTCCACTTTACTTAGTCGAAATTGAGCCTCGTCCTCCATCATAAGGGTGTTGAAGCACTGATGTTTGGACGAAGGATCCAAGAATGCAGCGACAAAATACAGATCGTTTTCTGTGAAGTACTGAAAATAAGTTGTGAATTTGCTTCGAGTAGAAAGAACAGCATCAAGTACCGTTTTCTTCATATCTAACGGCGGGTTTTGAGTTCCATTGATAAAGGTGAAATCAAATGCTCCTTCTGTCGGTAGCTCTATAATTTCCGTATAGGCATCACCGCATAAGTCATAATATTCCAGAAGGGTGTAATAGAAAGGTACCGCATTAGAGAGATGATTAAACGAATCTTCTTGCAGAGTGTCATTCAGCACTTTGAAGATTGAGCAACAATCGACAAAGTACTGCAAAAGATGGACTTCCTCAGGGGTTTGCTCGAAACACCTTTCGATTTTTGAAGCAGCAGAAATGTTCTGTGGTGACTTTTTAAAGTTATTGAACCACGTCAGATACTGCTGGCGATATTTCAGAAAAGTGGTTACTTGCTTCCAGATATACAACCACCGTGTTTCCGATGCAGCAGGCACCAACGGGATTGAAGCTTTCATTAATGAAGACCTCAAAACAGAAGTGTGCTTCATCTTGTGAGCCAACCGTGTGATACGCGCCAGTGCCAAGCTAAACTTTGTGTTTGCTTTCAGGTTTTTCACTACATCTTGGAAAAGAATGTTCAAAATATGATTTCCACACCGGAAAATATGGAAGTTTCCCAGACGATCGAACGTCTTGGATTTGCATTTCTTGAAATGGTCATGGACAAGGTGGGAATGGATGCATATGTTGTTTGTGGCGTTATCACAAGTAATTGTTGCAACTCGATCATTTATTTCATACTCATTCATCACATCCCGAACTTCCTTGAAAAGATTTTCCCCGGTGTGTGGTGTGTCGCTAACATCAATGAAACCTAGGATGTGGGTGTTGTACGGAGCGTCATGGTTATTAAGAAGAGCCTTGCTGCTGCCAACATCAGTCAGCATAGCATCATTTATAAGATTGGGAGCAAATGATGCGGCTACAGCTAGATATGATCTTCCATTCCCGTCGGACCAGATATCCAGTTCAATGTTAATGAAGTCAGTTTTGCTCAATACTTTTTTAAGTGCAGTATTGAAGTGATTGGTGTATTTCGATAGCCTGTCAATGATCGCTGGTCGAGATTTTATCAATTTAATACCAGGGCAAGCTTCGCTAATGACGTTCCAGCTTTTGCCTTCGAAGAAGGAGAACGGGACTAACTTTTCCGTCAAAAGCAACAGAATACCAAAATCGCCAGGGCTATGCTTCCATTCTGCGGTTATTGCAGCTGGCGGTGGCAAGGAACGACACTTGACTCCTAATTGGCTGAGACTCCTAGATTTTTCTTCTTCTTTTCGACCGTTTTGGTATGCTAGAGAATGAACGTTCTTTACGTGTTTTGAAAGGTTTCCTGTGGACCTCGCTTCCTTGAATTCGCGTTTGCAGTGAACACAAGAGGCAATCTTTAGTCCATCCACCTCTGTAACATTGAAGTGGCGGCGAAGGGCTGATCGATCCATCCATCCAGTTACTTTAAGTTGTCTAGTAGGTGTATTAGGAATGGAGGAGCCATCTGCCGCATCTACTGGGTTTGAGACACGTGGCTCTGGGGTAAGAGTCTCACCTTCCAAATCTGAGGTTTCGTCGGAAAGCTCTTCAATCTGATAAGACTCTTGGACCGCTATCATTGTGTGTCAGCTGAGTAGTTCGAACCGGGGAGCGGTTGATCTGGATCATGTATGTTAAATATTCAAATTTTTGACGCCAGAAATTTTCTTTACGCGTTTCGATTCTTGAAAGGGTATCCAGTGTTAAAGGACACGGGTTGCTGGCGGGTCGCATATTTTGTTCACGCGAGTAATAGACGAATCAACGTGACGGCGCACGCGAATACTATGTGGGTTTCCTGGATAGGGGTTACTCAGCCTAAGATGGTACCCGAAATACAGCTTTGTCAACAACAGATACCTGTACATTGGAAGAGCACATGTCCAGAGGCCATACAAGAACTACGGTATGATTGTAATCTTTAGTCCAGTTGCTCATCGCATGCCTCAAACGTATTCCATAAAGGGGCCTTCTTACCTTGTCTGTTTAACGCGCACACCCTTGCTAACCACATGTAACCCATTTGTTCTTTGGAGCTTTCCTGCGACAGTGATGATGATGATGTACGGAAATTGCTTCTCTCCACTGCTTCCCTTCAGGTTTCTACGCCAATGGCATCCAGTTTTAATTGCATAACGAAGAGACTACTAGGGCAGCACACATGGAAAACGATAGTATCGTAAATCTGAGTCCTATACCGTTGATAATTGGCAGAGCTGCAGCCATGCTTCACGTTCCTGAACGATGCACCTCCACTTGGAAACGGGCCGACAAATGGGTAGAGACTGTACTTCGGATCTCTAAAACGGCTCAAACTATGGAAAAGCTGCACATCATGGAAACAGTCACATAGATTCAAACAGACATAAGAGCAGTAATGACTCGCATTGCAATCCATAGTCTCATGGGGCGAGGTCTCAAACAGTCCAATTGCATCTGCTGCACTTTGGGGTCGTTGTCAAGTAGTCTACCGGGCATAAATGGCCATACCACGGAGCCTACGCCTGTAGAGAACAACATAATACCGGCCTGCGTCTTTGACCCGCTATGGATTGTACCAAGAAAGGTTGAGGAACAATGATGGCCATGCGCCAAACGAACGGATTATAATTCACGAGAAATGCCACGGCAAACACCACCTGTTCGTCGAACAAGGCTTTGGAACATGCCAAATTGTGGATAAATCTGTGAGGCGGTATGTACGACTGAGTTCGGATGATAGCGGTGAGTTTTCGCTCCAACTGACTTGGCGAGGAACGAGTCATTCGCTGCGAGAGAGCTCATTGTCCCAGACAGACGTCAGAGAATCCAAAAAGTCTCCACCTGGAGGAGTTCTCTGGTCCACGTTCAATGGTCGATCAGAGGGCTGCAGGGTCCAGCCATCCTGTCTGAATAATACTCATGTAACCTCAACTGTCAGGTCTCTAGCAATGTCGCTAATATTGAAGCAAACTTTCGAGTCTCTGCAGGAACGCCACTCGTCGGCAGGAACTCCATGACAAGCAAACGAAAGGGGTATGCAGGCGTTTTCTTGCGCTTGCAAGAACCGCCCAGAAATTTGGAGTATCATTTAGCATGTAATGTCGAGATTTACTATTTCCACATGAGCGGAGAGACCGGCGAAAAATCACGGCCAAAGCAGAGTAGTATCACTGGATGTGACGCCAGAAAAAGGCCCGGTCGTTGATAAACTTGAATGGTTAGAGAAGATGCTAAATGAAGGTTGATTTCTCGATTCAACCTTGACTTTCGCTGGCCTACTAAACATCGCCCAACCTTTCTCCAACGCAGCGCTTCATATTATGACAAAAAGAGGGCAACTCATATCGAAAGAGTGCAGGCTGTCCATAGGCGTTTGTTGGGGTGTTGTCGTAGAGATGCTAAATCCCGAAACTTCGAGGATTTGGAGACAGTTGTCCATGTGGCCCATGCAGAGGAAAAGCAGCATCACGCCTAAAAAAGAGGCTATCAAATGGATAAACTGGGAGTTTAGTTCATCTCTTGGCTTCAGTAACAACTATCAAACCCCCCACTGCCTTGAAGGGAACACTTCAGCTGATCAGGCAAGTCCTCGCCGCGGGAAATAATGGTACCCTGATTCATTCCGCGACAAGCGGCGTGCTTGACTTCGAGGTGGACCGTAGAACATAGGAGTTAGGCTCAGAAAGACATCATAGGGTTAAGATCAGCACAAGTGCTGTGCTTCTGATATAGGGGGATAGCCGCATTGTGGAGGCTCCCTTACATTAGAAACTTTTGCTTTACACTAGAATGCCAGCTTACAGCTCATCGCCCACAGAGCCTGCGAACCGGATACACCAGACCGTGGCTCTAAGATTCCTCATGCCGCCTTCTTTAGAGGGGGCGAGGGGACTTCTCTTTGCAGCGTCGTCCAGAAGGTACGCCTACGCCTAGCCCGCATCACCGCACCGGTTTCTGTCCTGCCGCAGTACTCACGGCACTCGCGCCTCCCTTTAGCTCTCGACCACCTATTACTAGGCAACCAGTGCAGCGCATTGTGCTGTGCACCAATCCTTCCCCTACCAACACGCGAGGAGTTTTGATGCAACCGCCCAGCCTCAGAAACTACCCAAGAACAAGAAGCAACTTAAGTCATCGTCCAGCAATCAGTAGGCATGCATCTCTCGTACTTCCGACAGTCGACCGTCACGGCACTTCTTACCCAGAGCGCCGGTCAAAGATCTTGGTGCCCACCACAGAGCTTTTAGAAAGCCCGAGACCCTACACTGATCGACGTACTGTCATAGGCTGCTCCTCGATGCAGTACCGCTCCCGAAGTTTCCCGCCCAGGGACACAATCGTGCAGTGCCAAGCTTTCGACAATCAAGGCCTTAAAAAAGCAGTCGGCCCCACTTCTGGTGCTCATCTGCCCCATAACTCAATCCAGTCGGCGCACGGCATTACCACTATGGTTGTTCCGTCATTAACGCTGCAGACGTAAAGGAGACTTGCCTACAAAGCGTTCTTAACAATGCGAATGGTTACATTGAAGGATTGGTCGCCTTCTTTTTGCATAAAAATTTTTCACCATTTGCATTATAGTATGGTCTCGAGGTACACCTTGCTGGTTACGCTACCCCTCGGGCAGAGATGGGAGTGCGTGAAAGAGAGCTATAAGTGAAGAACGGAAGTGCGTGGCATGCCGGCTCCAACATGATTCATTACCACACTGTTTGTAAAGGATAGTCAAGATGGGAGGCGAGCCATGGTGGAAACAATGGAATCCAGACAACATTACTTTGTCAGATACTACAACGACTGATGCGTGGAAAACTTGTGTCATCCAGGGAGTCTACTGGAGCGACAAAGATCAGCCTAGGTGGTTGGGTGCGCGTATCTCTTCTATTTTTGTGATTTTGTTCGTCAGCACTGCGTTTACGATGTTTCCAGTATTCTCAAGCCGTAGGTCTTGGCTGAGAATTCCTCAATGGGTTTATCTGTTCGCGCGGTACTTTGGTACCGGTGTGATTGTCGCGACTGCGTTCATCCACTTGCTGGACCCCGCGTACTCGGAGATTGGTGGGTCGTCGTGTGTTGGTATGAGCGGAAACTGGGCCATCTACTCTTGGTGTCCAGCAATCGTTCTAGCCACGATATTTGGTATCTTTTTCGTTGACCTAGGAAGTGCTCTCTACGTGGAGCGGAGATTTGGCATCCAACATCAGCATGGGGACGGTATCGAAGACGCCATTGTGCGCAAAAACGAGCCTAGTGTTTCCGAAGACGTGGAAAGGAGCGACTTGGAACACGAACGGAGCCATAACTCCAAGGATGACAAGCTGACTGATATTGCTTCGAGCGTGAGCTCGGAGGCTGTGACTGTCAGCTTCGAAAGTCAGTTCGGAGCATTTCTCGTGCTCGAGTTCGGTGTTATTTTTCACTCTGTCATGATTGGATTGAATCTTGGATCTTGCGGTGACGAGTTCAGCACGCTGTACCCTGTCCTGGTTTTCCACCAGTCGTTCGAAGGTCTTGGTATCGGGGCCAGACTGTCTGCTATTCGGTTCCCCGAGGGAAAGATCTGGTGGGCGTATGGACTTTGCTTGATCTATGGTCTCACCACGCCGGTTTGTGTCGCTATAGGTCTTGGGGTGAGAAACAGCTACGAGGGCAATTCTTATGCAGTCAACGTAGTTTCTGGCATCCTGGACGCTATCTCGGCAGGAATTTTGATTTACACTGGTTTGGTTGAATTGCTGGCTAGAGACTTCATGTTTGATGAGAACCGGACCAAAGATGTTAAAAAGATTATTTATATGATCATCTGTACACTTTGGGGCGCTGGTCTAATGGCCTTGTTAGGTAAATGGGCTTAGAGGCATGCCACATGAAGGGCCTCAGTGAGCTAAAATTGATATAATTTGTATTTTGAGTTTTATATCCCAATAAAGCGATGCTTTCAACACCACGTCTCTTCGTTCATTCTCTAGACGTTTGGATAACACACGGTATAGGCCTCACCTTCGTGGCCTTCGACTCTCCCCAGTCGGTGTGGCGCTTAGGGAGTGGTTTAATTTTCTCGAGTGTGAGAGTAGTATTCACGACAGATAACAAATGCCAGTTTCAGCTATCGTAGGCCTTATCAATTCTTGTTCTCTGAGTGCTACCTGGTTTAGAAAAGTAACATTTAATAGCCTTTTAATTTAAATTCGAATAAATATTTTCTCCATCCCCAGAGGGTGTTAGGTTAGAAAAGAATCTGCTTTCTTGCCACGTCTGCGATCCGCGGGCTGCGACCAGGATTGATTAGATGCCGCGAGCGATCGAGAAAAAGCGAAAAAACTATTCGCGAAACGGTTGCTCCGAGTGCAGGCAGGTCCACATCAAGTGCGATGAGGTGCGGCCCCAGTGCCGAAGATGTGAGCGCAAAAATCTCCCGTGCACTTACGAGACGAAATTCATATTTCAAAAGATAACTCCCAGCCAGAGAATTGCTGGAACCAGTGCGTTAGCTACTTATTTACCAAACCAGATTGAATCTGAGAACCTGCCTCTTGCTCCAGAGCCTGCTCGTCATGCCGAATATTCCGTCGACCCACTAGGCCTGAGCCAGTACATCTACATTTCCCCGTCCGACCTGGAGTATCTAAACACGCTTCAGGCGAACGAGATTCCGGAAGGAGCTGTCGAGACGGCGCCGCAAGAGGTCCGTGTTGACCTTTTCGATCTCAAATGGAGATCCTCGTCCAAGCATGACTTTTGTCAAGCGCTCTGCGAAAACGACTTTGTTGCTCGGCTGTCGAACGACCTAGATCTTGAATTAGATCCATCAGCGCTCGTGAGCGACCAAAACCTGATTAATTTTACCTGGACGGTTGCGAGAAACACCTTCTGCGCTGGAAACTTCGCCATGTTTCCGGACGAGCACCTAGCGGCGATGCTCACGGGGTTGGTATCTCTTAGCGGGAAATTCTCCGTTGTTCAGAGCGCCATAATGTACGATTGCGCCATGTTCATGAGGGATCTATATCAACAAGAGAAAGAAAAGCGGCTCTCACTCATATGGGATAGGTTTGTGAGGATTCCGTGCTTCAAGAAATGTCTCGAGCCTCTCAGCGAGCGACTCGAACAGTCTCTGGACTACGACGAGCTTGTCGCGCTCACTTTCGTAATCATTTTACTCTTCTCCGCCAACAGCGCCAACAGAAGCAACGACTGGAGAATCCATCTTACAGGCTGTTACCAACTCATAGCGAAACTGGAACATTTGAAACCGGACAGTGTCTCTGAGACTGGATTCACTTCGCAACTGCATGATCATATCAAGGATTGGTTCTGCCATGCTCAAATCATAGCCAGTATTAGTTCTGACAATGGAGGTGCCATCGGTCACGCTGGAAAGGTGATCCAAATTCTCAAAGACGCACCTTATTCCGCTTTGAACGTACTCGATAATCGCATGGATCTTCTCAAAGGTTACCAGACACAGCTCTACCCGATACTCACCGACATTACATTTGAATTTGAGAGATACAGAGCTGATGGGGTCCTCCTAGGTGGTTCCAACATCCTTAAATTTAAACTCGAAAACGCGGACGCCTCTATTACTCGACACTTGCATGAATTCGGTGAAAACCTTATCAGAAGGCTCAACTCTTTGCCCACATACTACAGCCCAAATGCCAAAGGAAATTGGGAAATTCAAGACTTCAAATTACAACTTTCCTTCAAAAGGTCCTCAGAGGCCTATCGTCTGGCACTCGAGCTTTACGTCAAGACTTTTTTCTTCACCTCGTTCGATGAATCCGACATCGATCAACTCTTCGAAAAGATCTTAGAAGCGCTGTTTTCAATGCCTTACTTGGATAGCGTAGGAATGGCATGTCATTGGCCAATCTACGCAAGCGCTTTGGCCAGCATTTACCACCGGAAGGACAAATTTTACTTTTATTTCATTGAAAGCTTACTTTGCATTGGGTCCAAAGGATTTCAAGGTGCGTTCAATTCCATCGAGCGACTCTCGTATCTGCGCGAGGTCCATTCTAAAAATGGTCTTACAAACCTGATTAATAGTGCCCACGATTTCACAGCATACTAAAAGATGGGTCCAACAACGAATGATGATGCCGATTTGTTATTAATTTGAGGATGGATCTTATAAATTTATATTAAAAATAATCGATTCAATCACGCAAAATGAATACCCACTTGGTGGAAAGCATACAGCAAAGTTAGGAAATCTGTTTGGTCACATTTACCCGCTCTTTTGTCCGAAAGTCCGGTCTCTTTTAACACTTTTTCTATCAGTTCCTTGACAACATCAACCATGGAAGCCTTTCTATCATCTACCATTGTTTCTGAATTTGATGCCGCAAGGTATGCTTTGTAATTTTTCTCGAGGATCTCCAGAACAGTCGTAGACTTAAACCCCGCTGCAATGGTTCTGTTCTTACGCACGAAGACTATCCGAAGAAGACCATCCCACTCATTGAAATCTACTTTTGGCCGTGGGTTTTTGATTTCGATTCTTACCACACTAGATTCCACTTGAGGCGGAGGTCTGAAGTTGTTTTTACCCACTTTCATAATATGCGTCACGTTGGCCCACATTTGGACGTTGGCAGACAAACGACAGTATAAACTGTCACCCGGTCTCGCGAGCAATCTTAACGCAAACTCGCGCTGAAACATAAGAATCGAGACCCGAGGTGGTCTAGGTTGATTTATGAGTTTGAAAACCAGTGGTGACGAAATTTGGTACGGAGTATTACTGATGCAAACATCGAAATACGGGAGCTCTGTTTTCATGAAATCTCCCAACATAATCTCGAGCTTTTTCTCTCCCGGTGTACCATGAACTCTCTTCGTCAGTTCTGCTGCCATTCTAGGATCCATTTCGACGGCTACAACTTTCCGGACCTGTTCCAAAATACGCACCGTTAAGTTACCCGTACCCGGACCCACTTCCAACACCACATCTGATGGCTTAAGTTGTGCTTTGTCGACGATGCCTTGTGCTACTAGCGGATTCTTCAAAATGTGTTGTCCGAGATCTGTATTAAATTTAAACACAGACCCAAGATGTTTTTCGGCAGAAACTTGCTTGCCGGATCCTGTTCGCATACTGAAGGTCTTCTTGGGAGCCTTACCCATTGTCTAACACGTTTTCTTCCTGCTTGAGCTTCAACTTGATGAGCTTGAAATGCGCGATGAGCTATCAGACCTAAAATTTTTCAAGGTCCAGCTATCATGAAAAATTCTGAATTTTTGCACGAAATCCTTGAAAACACCAATGTAGCCCATAATTTAGTCCTCCATTATTTTGAAAGCGAGCTTTCGTATCACTTTATTCTCGTTTATATCGTCTGTAGTTCGTGAACCGTTGCGAACGTTATTGGGACGCTCCGGACGAATATCGAAAAACTGACGTAAACTTTGGTTCCTAGGGGGCGTAACAAATGTGGGCAGTCGGATCGCGCCGTTTAACGGTAGTGTTAGCGGATATTCTTCTTGAGAATCTGAATACTTAATGGTTCCTCTATACTCTGAGATGTCGAGGTCATTTAACGGAAAACAGCGTTTTCCGTCGCGATGCGTCCCGCTGCCCAAACCGCTTCCCACGTTCTCCTTGATCTGCTCAAAATCGTTCTCATCCTGAATGGTTTGTCTTGCCAAAGAATCCTGCGCTATTAAAATGGATTCACGTTGTTCTTGTGTTTCCTCGTAAAACGTAAAACGGGCACTATGAGCACCCGCACCCCCTTCCAATTGCGGTAAACACCCCCCTGGCTCTCTCAACTCCCCTACTTTCCTCACTGGACTCCTCTGAATCGCTTTTTCGACTTCAATGGCTCGTTTTTCCGGGGATTTCAATTTGGGAGATTTATGCACATGATGTCGAGAGTTAACACTCTTATGAATTAAAGCAGGTCTTCTTCTAATGGGTGACGTTCCATTCATAGCTGAAAAGCTCTATAGGTTCATAATCAGAGAAAATAGAACCTGTCTCGTTCATGATGTCCCGGTGCTTTTATAAATCTTGGTATCTTTAATTACGCGAAATGTTACTACACGAAAATCGTCTAGACGCGATTTCTCGATGAACAGCAAAATCGCCAATTATAGCGAATTGGCTCGGATTGACCCTCATACATACTATTTAATGCTAGTAATGCTGCTTGTAGTGTAGTCTAATGAAGAGCGTAGAAAACATGTACTGATCGCCGCTCAAATTGTACAATGGAATATGCCGGTAGCCTTGTTTCAGGTAGTCTAATTTGAGGCAGCAGTTGGCCAAATCGACGTCGCCCGCACGAACTGTGAACACCAGGAAATTGAAGCCCGTGTTGGTGACTACGAGGTCGAAATTAGTTTCCCAAATTGGGTTAAAACCATTTTCTCGGCACCGGAAGGTGACACCTTCTCGGTCCGACAGTAACATACCGTTTTTCACATCCAAGGGCTGAATGGGTGGATCGCTTATGAACATCAGACTGACTTGTGGGCTGAAATCTGACTGACGTGCAGCAGGGTCTCGTGGTTTGGGCAGCAATTGTGCTGACAAGATTTGCACGTTCACGTGGACGTACGGTTTTTCATGACTGTACAATTCTTGTACGTCTCTGACTTTGTTCACGGATCTCAAAAGGTATTCGGGCTTCAATACGTACCCGGAACACCACAGCGCATCCGGAGTCATGGGCAACTGAAACAGAGATCGGTTCAGACGTTGACCCATATCGTGAGTTTGCCAATTCGTGGCGACCATTTGGACCCCACTTTTCCAAAACCGGATCGGATCGAAATTCGTCGAGTTGTAGCGAAAAGCATGCGGATACACCCGCATCATAAACCTCCTATTATGTTTGTTAATGGTCAGCTTTTGCAATTGGTCCTTGGCCAAATAATCGAACTTTTTCTCACTGAATGAGAAACAGTGCGTCGCGGTCTTGGACTCTGGTAATGAAAAATTCCGGAACTTTAGGCCATGTACTAGCGAAATACCCAACAGTCCGTCCACAACCCGGACTCGTTTGCGAACTTTCAGTTTTCGAACACCTGAACGTCTGAATCCAGCCCCCGATTGAGTATCAAGTTCGGAGTCATATGAGGAACTTGTCGAGGAAGACATTGCAAGAGTCGAATCAGAGTTCCCTGACTGTGAGTTCACGGTTTTTTTCACTTTCAGAATGATCTTGTGTTTGAGAGCGTTGGGTGAAGGAAACTCTTCATTGTGGGAGCCGATCCACAATTTGTCTCCGAGCAGCTCTTGTATCGATAATAGTAGCAGTTCCTGATTGTCCTTTTTACAATGAATTTCAAGAGAGACGATTAGTGGATACGGAGTCGTGATGAAAGCGTATTTGCGTATCACTTCAGCAACATCGCGGAAATTTATCGAGCCCGTAAGTTTTCCATGGCACACTAAGGGCCCGTCATCCCCGTCCCATACGTCGACCTCTATACATCGGCATCCGTGCTGTAGGGCATAAATGTAATTTTCAACCGAGGGATTGCCTCCAACTTGCTTCCCCACCAAGTACGTATTGTGGGAGGAGCATATGAAATAGTTGGTCAAGGGCTGATCGTAGTCCTGATAAGTGGGCTCAAAGTGAGGCTGTTTCGTCAAGAATTTCAAAAAGCCACTTTCGCCCATTTTGTTATTCGGAAGTGCATATTTATTGAACATGCTGTGCAACTCCAGGTCGTCGTTTGCCTCTTTCTGCTCTTCCCGGCAAAACTGTGCGAACTGCTTAAACGTCATAAATTCTTCATCTCCGATCAAAGACTTCCAGAGCCTTCTTACCTCCTCGCGTTTCTTCAGTAATTTCACAAACGTTTGAAATTCTCCGAAGTTCAAGAGTCCATTGTGGTTCACGTCTGCTTGGTCGAAGATTCTTTTCAAGTGGTCTGTGGAACAAAAAATGTTAAATTTGGAGCAGAGTTCTTTGACATCCTCAAACGTTAGCACCTCAGTATCTTCATTTTGCGCCCTGTCTGAAGTTTTGTCACGCCAATGCAGCTTTGCAAATTGCTCATTATAAGGCAATGCGATGCTTTCCATGAAATCTTTGCGTGAGTTTACCTCATGATAAAGTGCATTACAAAATCTAACAAAACTATCAGGACTCGCAGCCAAAAGATGCAATGCTTTGAGTTTTTGTGATTGATTGTAGATTATGGTGACCCATCTATCCGCCAAACCAAGCGGAATGTCGTATTCCTCCATGTAATTCCCAGCCATAACGCCTGTCCTTATATCCTTGATAGCATCAAGATCGATGAACTTTGTTTCTTTCCATCTCAACTGACCGGGGCGCACAGTAAACAGGTAGCACATGCACTTGCGTCTTGTCACTTTGGTTAAATAGATGCCCCGTCGCAGCTCCTTTAATGTTTCAGCGTCCACTGCATCGTGACTGGTGCTATCATTACCTTCCAAGGGTCCTTGCTCATGCAAAATAGAAAAAGACCTTGATCGCGCCAACGTCCCAAAAGTTTCCGGGATTTTCGAGCAGGTCTTCAAACTAGGAACGAGATTTCCAGTCTTCCGGATAAGATACTTTAATTTGCCCTCTCGTTGGGGGTCCATGGACGGAAAACTAGACCCCGTTGGCCCAACTTCAGGAGTATCCCCAAGCGAACTGCCTTCAACACGCGCGAATTGAGGCTTCTTGGATGCAGATTCTAAAGTCGTCATCGGTGTAGCCAAGCTATCAAACAATGAAAAACAATGCCAAAACCGAACCAAAAACGTTGCTTCAAAAACAGCCTTTGTCCATGTTCGTTAATCTGCAAAGTCGATCAACTTAAGTGACGATTCAGACAATCAAGGATCGATCAAAACGTGATGGAAAACGGAGATCTTCTGTTTACCACTTGGTTTTGAAATTTAGTTGTGCCAAGATGGGACAACTCACTAATAACGTAACGTCAGCACTACCAACATCATCCGCAGCCCATAACTTTCCGCGACGGGAGGATTTGGTCTAGGTCCGTTGGACTCTTCAAGCCTATAAGACAGTCCTTGTTGAGACTGCCGTAGCTCGTAAACTGGGTGCCAAAAGGCATGTCTTCTTTTATCGGCGTAATGAGCGGTGACAAAAATCTTGGCGCTTTCAACACCGGTAAAGAGGTTCTCTTTGCAGCGTAGTAGTGAATCTTGTGAGACAAGCGATTATCTCTATTATAGGATCCTTTAACGTCTTCGTGTTGTAAGTCTGGCAAATGACTGAATTTCAAAAGTGTCGGTTGAGATTTTACCAACGATTTGGAATATGAAAAGGTTTTCTTTTGCGCAGATTTAGGTGTCTTATCAATGATCACAGGATGAAGATTAAGCCTTTTGTGCAGTAGGGCGCCGACCTTTAAGGAGTCCGCTCTAGGGCGGCTACCAGATTTATTCAAAGAAGGTTCTCGGATAGTGAGATTTTGGAATTCGGGTACCAATTGCTCTTCCAAATCCGGAGAAGATGGAAAACTCTCGATGATTACCCTTTTGGTCTCCCAGAGGCTCAGTAAATTGAGAAATTTTTCAGCTATCGGAGGCTTTAAAATACCGGCTTCCATGGCTTGCATTGAGATGTCACACATTATGTCTGTAACGATTTTTATTTCCTCTAGTTTTCGAGCCCTGATAGGTGAACCTAGCTCCCCGTTTTTGTCAAGCAAATCGGAGATTTCCTTCACCGCTGATAAAAGCTCGAGGTGTAAAGCATCAAACAAGAGCGACCAGCGCTTTTCTATGATTTGAGCCCGGAGCTGGGCAACTTCACCGAGAAGTTGGAGATACTGATGAGATAATTCATCGAAACTAGTCCACAAAATTGCAGACAAATGGACAACGTGACGAACGTTACGTTTTTCGAACTTATCCAGTTTCCGACGCAATTCGTCCTTCAAACTCAAATCCAATGTCTTGGTAGTACAGTCAAGCGCATAGAAGCGTTCAAAAAGAACCTTTTCCGTTTCTTCAAACGTAGGAGCGCGAAAAAAAGCCGTGTCAGCACAGCTTGACAAAACAGTCACGAGTTTATCGCGCGAAAAGGGCGGCAGAGAGATCAAGTTGGTATAACTTGTATTGCTTCGCAATTTTTCACATTCTCGTAGGTTTTCCAATGCTAACAGATTGAGCGATCCCAGCAGATCATTGAAGATCTCATTGAATTCCAAAGAAGTCTCGAAAATGTATTTTGCATCGTCGATTGTCGGTCTTACTTGCTGACAATAACTCCAGGTAATCTCTGCCAAATCAAAAAGTCGAATAAAAGATGCGCTTTGAACTCCGTCGTCAATAAATTTTTCGACCGCGTCTAGAACCCTGGTCAGCGTGAATTCCAAATATCCTATACTTTGATAAATTCCATAGAATTGGAGTTTCCCTTCCAAAATCCACCGGAAAAACGATCTCACTTCTGATTGCCCGAAATTAAGTACAAAAATTTCGCTTAAAGTGGCAATGATCTCTGTCCATTTCAATTTAAGTTCCTCCAGGCCCTTTATCACGTTCTCAACGTCAGATTCGTCTTCAAAAAAGCGGCTTACTGCGGTCAAAGATGTATAGGCAGGTTGCAAAATCTCTGACAACTTTCGGCCCGGAGATCCCTCATTCATTCTCTTGGCATTGAGGGCGTTTACATGAGTTTTCTGTTTGTTTACCATTGCATATAGGCAGAAGGAATGAAGATCAAGGATTAAAGAATATCGTCAAGAGTGATTGGGTACGTAGGCCCGGTAACGTATTGATGCCGAGCTCATCAAGGTGAGATGATAGCTGGATATATTTACAGTAGTGATTTGCCGTAAGAGTATGACTGGTCTCCCGACCGCTAGGACTGCTGAGCTTTGTTCAGTTCATTTTGTAATTTATTCCATCAAGGCCTTAGAGACGAAGTTTCTTGATCGTAAATGGCATCTTTCTTGACTTGTTCTTGAATTTGATGTTCTCGCAGTTTATTGACTTCTGATGTGTCCTCTGTTTCGTCCGGTCTCTTTTCTCTATCAGCGTTCTCTGCGCGTGAATCCTGTAAACGGAACGCTTGGTTCGCTTCTCTTCCCTTTTCGTGGAGAAGCTTGTACAGAGCGCTCTTGGTATCCGCATATAGATCTTTGAATTTGCCAACTTCGACCACTCGTCCGTCGTCTCCCAGAACAATAATGTTCTCAGATCTCCGTATAGTACTCAAACGATGTGCAATGCTGACAATAGTAATTTCACGACTTCTCATCAGTTTACCCAGCGTGTAATTGATAGCGCCTTCACTTTCGACGTCTAACGCAGACGTGGCTTCGTCCAGAATTAATATCTTGGGCTTCTTGATCAAAGCTCGCGCTATGGCTATGCGCTGTCTTTGACCTCCACTCAATGAGGAACCTCTAGGCCCTATTGGCGTATCGTAACCTTCTGGTAGCTTAGAAATAAACGAATGGCAAAAACATTGTTTTGAAATGGATCGAATTTCGTCTATAGTCGGTTTGCGGTCTAATCCGTACGTTATGTTGTCTCGAATGGTACCGGACATCAACATAGGTTCTTGCTGGACCACACCCAGATAACGTCTCAGAGACTTGCAACTCAAAGTCGAGATATCTTGTCCATCAATAGTGATACGACCCTCTGTAGGAGCGTAGTATTTCAAAAGTAAAGACGCAATGGTCGATTTACCGCGGCCCGAAGGCCCCACAATGCAAACGTTGGAACCCGGTTCTATGCTGAAATTCAGACCTTGGAAAATTACGTTCGAGGGCCTTGTTGGATAGCTGAACAAGACGTTATCGAACTCAATATGTCCAGATCCTGGTTGGTATGGCAAGCCTTTATTAGAACGGATTTTTGGAACAGAATCGGTCATTTCAAATAAACGGGACGCGGCCCCTGCACCTTTCATCAACTCTGAATAGAAATTTGACAAACCAAAGACAGCAGATCCTGTGTATTCGGTGTACAGCATGAAAGCAGTAAGTTCACCGATACTGAGTCCACCTTGGAGAACAAGGTGAGATCCATACGCCAAAACGATCATAAAACTCAAATCTCCCAATACGCCAGTCGAACTGAAAAATGTCGCATTTGTCACTGCTTCTCTTTTTCCCACTTTAAACACTTGTCGAATGGCCTCGTCATACCTACGAAGCTCTTTCTTTTCGGCAACAAACGACTGAACAGTTTTTACACCGTTTAATTGCTCCTCCGAAAGCTTCGTGAGTTGGCCTGTAGATTGTTGCAGTTCTCTAGAGATCGATCTGATTTTATTACCGTAGATTGTAGCACCAATGAGCAACGGAGGCGCGAACATGAGAAGAGCCGAGGTGAGTGCGCTCGAGATATGCACCATCATTCCAATACCTACACCACCGCAAATGATGGCTTTGAAACCGTCAGAGATGTTCTGGGTCATGGATCTCGAAACCACATAAGCGTCCGAACTCAATCTTGAAATCAAATCCCCGACTCTATTACGATCGAAAAACTCGGCATCTTGATGTATGATTTTCCGAATCGTGTTGGAACGTAACCGGGCAACCAATTTCTCTCCTAAAACTCTTAGAAGCACAACACGGCCGAAATTCGCGACGGTACCTAAGATCAAAGCACCAGCGAAAACGGCGAAAAAATCGTATAGCCCGAGTCCGTACGCAATTGGTGGCAAATCGTCGAGACTCTTGGGCCTTTCGTCACCACTAAGAGCCGTCTTGGTAGCGTCCAAGACCATACCGATGACTTTTGGCACAGCCATGCCCACTAGCGATGAAATTGTTAGCAGTCCAATCGCGACAGCGAGTAATTTCCAGTCACGACGGGCCAAACGAAAAAGTCGAAATACTTCGGCATAACCTGGTTCGGGTTCATCTTCGTCATTGATTTTCTTGTCCTGACTTTTCGTCTGATCTTTCGTCTGATCTTTCGTCTGACTTTGTTGAACTCTCTGTGAAACCGAAAACGACCGGGAACCAAACACTAAGAGCCTCCTAGGAGTCAAAAGCGTTTTACCATGAAATAGAGACTCACGAAACAGAGATGGACGTTCTGCTAGGCCCAATCTCCCATTTTTCGATACAATTTTTGCCAACGTCCTCGACTTCACAGATAAACTGTAGTTTCGAACCGAACCGGGCAAACCACCACTCATATGGAACACCGGAACACATTTACGCCTTCCGCATGCTTGTAACAAGCGAGTCACATCTATTATCATGGCGATTGCGGGTCTCAAGAGTCGAACGCTTGCCTGATGACTTGAGATGACTCAAGTGGAATCTAATATTAAAGCTTTTATAGTGAAAAAAGTTGAGCCTACGACAAGATGGTTCAAGCGGCGAAGCCGCTTGAACAACCTGCTTCAACCCGGTTCGACATAAATGAATAAATTGCGAATATATACTGTTTTCATTCTAATTGGCTTCTACACCGATTAGTGGTGGGTGGGCTCGAAGCTGGTTATTTGATTCTTGTAGCATGGGATGCCCACCGTAAACCGCGCAAAAGAAGTTGCGACACCACCTAGTTTTTCAATGGAGCTGGATCCGCAGTCGCTTCTCCGTTCTGGTATTGAGTGAATCTGACTTCTGTTTTGGACCTTGCCAAAACTTGAGCAGTTTGTAGCTCAGTTTTCAAAGAATCACGCACGGCTTTGGCCGCAATGGCAATGTAGTTGTTGTAAGTCAAACCAGCTTTTCTCCACGCAGACATTGGACAGTTGAATGACGACAAAGGATGATATGGGTCGTGTTAGAAACTTGGATTCCACGAAGGAGGGTTTAGCTTCTCACATGGGTTGGGATTTTTTCAGTTTGACAGTAAGAAAGCTGGGTAACCTGGTTCTGATTGGATCGTTAAAGATGAGAAAGTATTACTCTAACACGTGATATTTTAATATCACGCGATCAACAAAGAAACCGTGATCGGGGAGAGACAGCCGCATGCTATTGTCAATATTGGTATATGCTGTGCACCATGAACTAGATGACTCGGAGACGAGATACCTGTTGGCTTTTTTGTCTTTTCTGACATGTATCTTTAATGACAGAACACCAGTGTTCACATTTGTCAGGGGACATAATAGCATGTTAGACATTAATGTGTACATCATAAGCGGGTGGGAATGGCAAGACGTGAGGCTGCGCTTCACCCAGGAATGTTGGCTTCGCGAGATTGCCACGATCACGTGTATCAGTGTCTTAGCACGTGATTGCTATTAATCGCAGTGAACCCTCTCACTAGTTTGAAAAGGCAGAAGTTACTAGGCATATTCAAGGATCCTGACTGTCCACACTCATTGGAATATACGCCGATCAATGGCGCCTAGCATTAGACGTTCCACATCCTTGGAGGTTACTCATCTCTTCGCACGGTGGAGCGTTTCAGACCCGAGATCGCCCTTAGAGGGTCAACGACGCGGAGATGTGCCGCTTTTAATTATAAACGTACCTTCCTCCGATGGGAATTACCAGTTATTTGTTCAATTGACATATTCTTGTACCTTTTGAAAAGAACTTGGAATTGATATCGTCACTCTCACGTGATCATAGTGACAGAACCCACGAAAATTCGAATATACCCATAATGCAATGATACTAATTCATACGATACCATCCATAGCATCGCAATTGTAACATAACCTTAATAGAGCTGTCAGAGGCATAATGGATGGCGTGATGCCGTTAAATAGCGACTGGATGAACTACCAAAGTTCGATATCTTCTTCAATTTCAATACTCATGTATGAAAAATCGTAAACCTTCATGACCTCCTTATTTTAAAAACAACTTTCTACCCTATGAATACTCTGTTAATTTCAGAGGCATATCGGTGTCGGTTTCACGCGTTTCTCACGATTATTCATGTCAAATGACGCCTTGTCAAGCGCATGCGAATAGCTCTAGCATTTGCTATGAATATACTCTATGGCTTTAATACCCCCTTTACGGCGAACAAGAGTTGATCTTTGCTTACTAAGTCATCAAGACCTTGGGATGGTCTTTATTAAGGATAACGTCAGATTGTTTGGGAATCTCAACAATGATCAACAGTTAGTCTAACTAAATTTTAGTAATCTATGGAGAGTACCCACTACTTCTCGTTTCAATTTTGATACCAGATTCTTTGTCAATGCCTCCGTCACGAACAAGGTAGGTCTTATCAACGTAATCAATCTCACCGCGGGTGTCGGAAACCTTTTTAATTTCTTTGGTTTGCAAGTAGCGGATAAGAATGGCCACCAAAGCAGACGCGGTAGTCGTGCCTATCATTGCGTAACAACCTTTCCTGAACTTAGGAACAGTTTCAGCCGAATAAAACAACAACGACCACCAGGCATTGACAGCACCAGAAAACATATTCATGGAGGCCAAGACAACGGCTCTTTCTTGAAGGTCCGTTCGACACACTAAATTAGCCCAAGCAAAAAAGATCGCCTGACCTGCAAACGATATTCCTGAGATATACTGAGCTGCAAACATAACTCCAGTTTTGAGTGGACTCGCCAAAACCATTACAGACGCTACAATCATGGCCACAGCTATCAAGATTGCAATGTGCCAATGATTTCTGCCCCCCGTGTGATCCACATACAAAGCACACGTGTATGTTGCAGCTATACCCACAGCGAAGATTCCCATTGGATAGTGGTTTCTTTGCACTACGGCGTATTTTTTAGAGGTCAACCATAAGGCAAATAGAGAGTTAGATCCAAAGGATTCGTTTTCACCGCCCACTACCCATAACAAACTGAATAGCCACCAATGCCATCTACCAATAACCCGCTTAAAAACGCTCCAGTCCAACCTGGTCTCCGTACGAGGTGGCAAACGTTCCTTTGCCAGTTTCAATTCTTCTTCAGAAAATACCCAACTCGATTTTATCTTATCAGGAGAACCTGGAAAACATAGAAATCCATAAATGACGATGGGGACTGTGATAATGAAGTCAATGATAAATAGCCATCTCCAGCCCTCTAGTCCGCTTTTACCATCCATATTACTGTAAATGGCACTTTGCATAAACCCAGAAAAAATGGATCCAATGAGTCCACTGCTGGTGAATGTAGCACTTCTGGTATTAATCTCTTCCTCTTTATACCATGAACCCAAAATCAAATGGGTCCCTGAGAAGGTAGAACTCTCAAAAACTGCCTGAAAGAATCTGATCACACAAACTTGCTGGTACGAGCTAACTCGGTAAATTCCAAGCGTAAGCAAGCCCCATGCGCCGGCGCAAAAAGTCAACCAATAGCGTGGTGGGACGGTCAATAACATCAAATTATTTGGGATCATCCCCACGATGTATCCAACGGTAAAACAGGTGTTAATCACGTTGAAATCGTTACCTGTCATTTTGAGATCTTGCTTCATTCCCGAGACGTACGCATTGGAAACATTGGTTCTGTCCACGTAATTAATCCAGTAATTGAGGCAAACATACGACAGAACCAAACAATCGATCTTTAGCAAAAGTCTTCTTTCCTTGGCAGATTTGGGCGACTTGCCCCAAAAAAAGGATTTAATTTTCGAGGCCAGGGGCAACTGGCTGTCGTCTTTTCGGTTGTCAATTTCATACATTGAGGGCGTTGAATTGGTCTAGCACAGTAACAGAATCTGAACAGGTATATGTCTTATGCTGTCTACTTATACGTTCATATTTTGGCAGATTTATTGCAAAATAAGGCTCCGAGAGCGTTCCTGTAACTGCGTTTATCTGCAGCTTTGGTCCAGCGTACCAGACGGACATCGAGATTATTACGGAAAACGACGTCCTATCGCTGCACCACTAAGTTTCTCGGACTTTGCGTGTGTTTGACAATCTGATAGCCAAAAGAAAAAGGCAGATTAGATACAAGACCTGATGATTTCGGCGTTGGATTAGCGCAAGACATCTCCACCCGCATTCTCTCACTATTGAAGAATGGTGGATAGTTCTATCGATAATGCGATAAGCCTTAGTCACTCGTCATCAGTGACTCCTGATGCACACGGAGCTGTTATCTTATCTGATTGAAAAATTAAGTAAGCACCTGAAGAGATTCGGTGCCGAATTTCCAAAACGGGTGAAGACGGCTTATCAGCTACTTACTGGTGAGATACAGGATCCAAGGGAAGGGATTCGATCAACGAAGCTGATCAGCGATGCTGATAAAGGTCTTTCGACAAAAAAGTATGGTAATACTCATTATAAGAGAGTCAAATTCATGATTTTGGGCCCTGAAATGATTTAGATTTCAAGATAATTCAAGGACAATTTTATATTGCTCGAGAAACCTGAACAACTACATATCCAAAATTCATGACTGTCACTGACTACAAGAGCGTCGCTGCTCAGAAGAGAGAAGCTAGAGACCAAGCTTTCCTTGAAAAATGGTTAATTCCAGAGGAAAAACTTCCTTCGGCAGACGTTAAGGATGTTTTATCTTGGCCTTTGAAATCTGGTTATCTGACCGGAGAGGAGATTACAATAACGGAATCCACCTATAATGAAATGCATGAGAAAATCAAATGTAAGGAATGGTCTGCGTACCAAATTGCATCTGCATTTTGCCATAGAGCTTCCATTGCTCACCAGCTCGTGAACTGTCTTTCTGAGGTTTTTTTCGTCGATGGTCTTAAACAGGCCAAAGAGCTTGATGAGTACTATGAGAAAACAAACAAACTAAAGGGTCCATTTCATGGACTTCCAATTTCGCTCAAAGATAACCTGAATGTCAAGGGCCAAGCAACTTCAATTGGGTTTGTTGGGCTTGCTTTCAATCCAAAAGAATACGAAACAGATTCGTTAATCGTTTCCAAGCTCAGAGAAATGGGCGCTGTGTTCTGCTTCAAGACAAACGTTCCCGTGGCTATGATGATGCCAGAATCTACTAATCATATTTACGGCAATACTGTAAGCCCCTTTAACAGAGGAACAACAAGTGGCGGTAGTTCGGGCGGTGAATGTGCTTTAGGACCTCTGCTGGGCAGATGTTATTTGGGAATCGGTTCCGATATTGGTGGCTCTTTGAGAATTCCTGCTTCTTTGCAGAATTTGTTCACTTTAAGACCATCGTCTGGCAGATTTACCACCTATGGATCTCGCTCAGGTTTACCAGGTCTTGAGTCCGTGGCCAGTGTTAACGGACCCATTTCCACTACAATGGAAAATCTTGAGTTTTACTGCGAGAACTTAATCAACCATGGTAAACAATGGCTAGATGATTCTAAGTGTCTTGAGGTGCCCTGGAGAGACGTAGAAGTACCTGAAAAGCTGACCATCGCGATTTTGAGGGATGACGGTGTAGTCAAACCGTACCCAGCTATAGATCGTGCCCTCAAACATGTCACTGAGTCCTTGGAATTGCAAGGACATGAAGTGATTGACTGGAATCCACTTCATCACGAGCGTTTGACCAACTTGATCGGGTCCTTCTTTTTGAGCGATGGTGGCGAACATTGCAAAGACTTGCTGAACTTGTCCGGCGAGCCCGTCTTTGACTACATGAAACCTTACGAAACCTCGGCGGATCTACCCGTTTCGAAGCTCTGGGATTTGCATAGTGAGCGGACAAAACTTTGCAACGAATACTTAGCGCAGTGGAACAAGACGTGTGAAAAAACGTCCTCGGGCAACCCCATTGACGCCATTATCATGCCTGTGTCACCTTACTCAGGTGTAGGCGTCGGTAAATTCAGATATATTGGGTACACTGCAGTGTTCAACGCTTTAGACTGGGCTGCTGGAACAGTACCCGTCACGAGGGTGGACAAAGCTTTGGACATGAAGGACGAAACTTACATGCCTCGGAACCCGATGGATGCCCAAACTTACGAAGAATACGATGTAGATGAAGTCGAAGGTTGCGCAGTATCCGTCCAAGTCGTGTGCAAAAAATTGCAAGAAGAAAAAGTGGTCAAAATTATGAAAAATGTGTCGGAAATTATTGGAACTAGCGATTACTGGAGTCGTTCTTAGGCGACCGCTGAATTTGTCTCTAGGAGCTTGAGTATGGAATCCGGTCGCACATCTAGTAAATATGATTGAGAGGCCGCACCAACGCTAGTGAGTGCCATGCTCTGAAGCGCTGAAAATCTAATGAGAGTCCTACCTACCAAAATACATGCCTTCCAGAACAACTATATGGAACGACAGTTCATAGGTTGATAAGTATATACATACGCCAGCTCATCGCGCAACCACTAAAAGAACAATATATTAAATGCAAGTTAATCGTCCTCTTCACCGGATGATGCCAATGCCTCAAAAGGCCCGAAATCAATGCTTGACGAACTAAAATAATAGAGATTGATTGCTACCTAAGAGGCGATCAAAGCACGCTCACAGCCGCAATTTGTATGCGATGAGAATCCGAAAAAAACGGTGAAATTAATTTTAGTATAAAATAACAACGAAATTGTTGCGAAATATTTAGGAATCAGCAAGACGTTGCCAAGTTCAGGCTGTCGATACATCTAGTCATTGTCTTGAGCCATACTGAAAGAGTACCACTTCAAAGTGAACCAAGATAAGTGTCACATCACCTGACTCAATAAAACCAGAATATTGTATCATACTACACGTGGATTTGCTGAACTTGTTGGTACGTTTATAGCGATGCATTTATGTCTCTCAAGACGAAATATTGTCAATTTCATATCATATTTTACGGAGAACAGATTTCCCAGATCCAGGTTTTCGTCTTCGATGGCATCGCAGGTTTAATGACATCGGTGAAGTCGTCCAAACTCGAAGCCTGAACAGCATTGGTGGTGCCTTTTTTGGTTTATACCACTCCGCAATGACTAAGCAAATTGATAGAGACCTTTTCTATAAACTTGCGTCTGAGCTTCAAGACCAACGTGTCTCTGCAACGGTGAGTCTTGTCAAAGAATTGAGCGAGATCGACTCACAATCGAGAGAATGGGATTACGTTTTGGGCAGACTTATCAAGGGCCTTGCGTCAAACAGAAGTGGAGCGAGGCTTGGATTTTCGCTTTGTTTGACGGAGGTGTTGTTTCTAGCGCTCGAAAAGGGCAGTATCGCGTCGATTGACGACTATTGGCAGCGACTCGAAACAAATTTGTTGAACGGAAAAGTGAAGACGGGTAAAGACGAAAGAGGACTTCTTTTTGGCAAGATGTTCGGGTTGCAAGCTTTGTTGAACGATCCTTTGTTCTCGAAAGTTTTCAAAACGGACTCCAATAATGTCGATTCCAAATTTCTTGAGAAATTCATGGGAATTCTGATCGATCTTTCACTGAAGAAACCGTGGCTTCGCGAGCCTGGCATGTTTACACTGTATCAGGCGATTGAAAAGCTATCTGCAGATCTAAACGCCGAAGCGTTAACCACTATTTTCCAGCTATTGGACTCAAAAAACGTGACGCTCACGCGCGAGGGTCTAGCCATTTACATACTTCTCGGACAACTTTGCCCCAGAACTTGTCAAGTGTTGAATAAACAGGACATTTTCGGCCATTTGTCACTGAAAAACGGGTGGAAAAACAATAGGCCTTTCTCCAGGGGCAATTTGCCTGCGGTATGCGACGTGCTAAAGGACTCTACTACAACTGATGATACTTCTCTCAAGCAGCAAGGAATTTGGACTCCACGCCTTCATTTTGTGTGGGAATCCTTGTTCGCGTTCTTCGCTCAGGAAAGTGGGTACAAACCGTCGGAAAGTCCCATGCACAAAAAGAGGAAAAAATCCACCAAGTCTGAATCAATTAATTTCCCTGAATTTTGGAAAGCTGCCGTGGATGAGAATTTCTTCAGCGAAAAATCCTCCAGCGAACGTAAATATTTGGGGTTCTTGATCTTTGAAAAGGCTCTTTCGAGCCTGCCACCGCAGTGCATAAGTTTCATTTTCTCCAACAATCTGATGCGGTCTCTGATCAATCAGGCTGGTGGCCAATCAAGAAATTTGAGCAAAGTTGCGCATGGCTGTCTTCAATCGTTTCAAAAACTGACCAAAAATCAAAGAGAGAAAGCTCCAGTGGTCCTTGAAGCGGTTCTCTTTGGGCCTCATGGCTCTATTGCATTTGATAAGTTGACGAAAACGAAGACCGTCAGTGAGCTCATGAAGAACAACTCATTAACTGGAGACGTCTTGTTATCGGTGGCCAAAACATTTTCAGAGCAGCTTTCGAAACCTAAGCAGGAGAAATCACACTATATGTTTTGTCTGGATAGCCTACTTCACCTCGTTCGGTCCCACAAACAGCAAGCGGACCTCTCGTGGGTCCAGCCGATTCTGAGCTCCCTAGTAGAGTGCAGTTTCTTCTATGACCCATACGAAGCCGACGCTCATAAGGATGAAGGACAAAGCGAAGCGGCCAAAGACAGTTTAAGTGCGATTATACAAGAGCGTTTGTACTCCGTTCTTGCCGATTTGATGTCTGTCAAGGTCACTGGTATCGTGACAGAATCGTGGCCCCTTGCTGTGATTGCAGAGATTCAGGAAAGACAAATGACTGAGAAGACTTTGTTAAAAATGGACCAAGAGATTTCTGACTGCGCTGCCAAAGCTCTGCAGGTGCTAGAAGAGTTAGTTGAAGCGAGGAAGGCAGATGAGTCTGATACGCGCTCCGAGGGCTTTCAATTGTTGTTTGCCATGAGCATCATTCAACTCTACGCAGGCGAAGAAGAGGCATTAACTGTCTTAGAAGATTTGATTTCGTTCTATGAAATATCTAAGACACGCGATGGTGCAGAGTCATTTCTTGGACTGACGGAGATTCTTCTATCTTTTGCAGCACAGAAGAGAGCCTTGATGAGACGAACAAGCCTTTTGGCTTGGGAGTCTTTTATCTTCGGCATCACAAAGGAGGACATCAAGATGCTCCTAGAAATTTTAACCGCGAGAGAGAATAAGGAGGGCTTCACGACTCTTTTCGAAGGAGAAGATGAAGATCAGGAGTCGCCCGACGACGAAGAATTGTCAGCGGCTGCAGAAAATGAGGATATAGAGGACGATAATGATGATGACGACAACGGGAGCATTGAAAGTGATGAAGATGCTGATGCGGACGTCAATGTGGATCTGTCTGAGAGTGAACTTGATGAGAACGATGTGGAGAAGATAGATAAGGAAACCGCGAGTGCTTTGGCAAAAGCCTTAAGTCTTCCGGACTCCATAATTGACGATAAAGGCGAAGTTAAATTTGAAGACTACGAGGAGTCAGAAGATGAGGAAGAAGGAGAGGATCTAGACGATGAGAAGATGATGGAACTAGACGATCAACTCTCGGAAATTTTCAAAAGGCGCAAGGATGCCTTGTCTAAGATCCCGACCGGGAACAAAAGGAAACAAGAGGTCAAACAATCTCGAGAAGATGTGATATCTTTCAAGCAAAGAGTTGCTGAAATGCTCGAGTTGTATACGAAAAAAATGGAGCAAAGACTTAAAGATGAACCTTCAAGTTCTTCTGAAATTCTTGACCACTCTCTGCTAATGATGAATCCTTTGCTCGAGTGTCTAAGAACAACACTTGACAGGTCTCTTGCAGATAAAATTTCGAAGCTTTTGAAATCTAGAATATGCAAAATCAGCCCACAAAATTTCCAAAACTGTGCTAACGAAGCCCGCAAAAAGGAATTGATTTCTGTCATAGAAGCCTTACATGGTTCCCTAGTGAGCAAGAAAGGTGGCCAATTTTCTCAGCTTTTTTATTCGGTCGCTTCGGTCGTTTCGATATTTTTATCGAAAATACTTGTCGAATTATTCCCAGAGGACGAGACATTTTTATTCCTCATTCAGCTATATCAAACCACTACTAGAGAATGGTTTTTCAAGGGTAAGTTTGGCGCCCATATTATTGTAGATTTCATCAATTGGCTGGCCGTCAAAAAGTCCACCATGGACAAGAAGAATCCTTGAAGCAAATCGTCAAGCCGATCGCATCTCGTATATCAATCTACAAATATCTCGAAGCGTGGTACGAGCGGCTTAACGATCTGATTGGTTTGTTTAGCCTTTCACGTTTGCGCACTTTACGTCAAAACAAACATATCGTTTATGCAACGTTCTTCGGCCCTGCGCCTCCCTCGTTAAGAGGCCAAGGTTTCGCCAATCCTTCAAACTCCGTTGATTGGACTTTCCGGGGCAAATTACTGGATTTGGATTGAAACCACTAGCGTTTGAGGGCCCGTTGTAAATGTGAGATTTTCAACTTTCATTAAACGACAGGCAAGTAAGCGAGTCATGACGATGGCGGCTGAATTCAAGACAGACATCAAATTTTGGTAAACGAATAAAACGATTGTATATAAAACCGACAGTTGACTCCATTTGCGAATTCGGCTGCCTTTGAACACCAGAAACTAAACCTGGAGTTATCATAACCTCGATGAAAACCACGATTGAACCTTTCAGAAGCCTAACGTCCGCCGAAAAGAGAATTCTCGAGGACAATTTGAATGGTCAAAGTAATGGGGTCATCTTCTCGGCAGTATATTCTAAAGGAATCTCTGCCGATACTTGGAGTGACGAAGCAACTCTTTTGACTGTGAAAGATCAAAGACTCTCATCCAATCGAATTGCACACACCCTCGCGACGGTTATCAAAAACAATCCCGAACTCTTTACAGCAATTAACAACAAATTGGAATTTGAGCCGGTCCAGAGGATCATGTTTGATGATGTGGTGCGTAAAGTTGAGTTTGAAAGCTATAAAGATGAGATTTTCAACTGTCACAATGGCATCCCTCCTTATCTGCTGCGGCAAATATTTGGCAAAAGCAACTTCTCTGTAGGTAAGCAAGAACCTCTGTGGCAGCTTTTTGTCGTAGATGAAATGATGGTGATATTCCATGGACACGATGTATTATTTGATGCTTTTGCCGCCGCCAATTTCCACCAACTCTTTTTGGAGGCACTGAGAACTGCGCAGATGTCAGATGCTCCGGCACCACAGTGCATTTTTAAGTTTGGATCTTCAACGAGAAGCTTGTCAAAATCGATCTTTGAGAATCCCAAGCTGCACCTGCCAGCCATTTCGGGAGAGCTTTTCCAATTGCAAACGCAAGCTTTCTTACGCAACATCTATCAGTACACCATTAAGAAACCACTCGACTATTTCGAATCGAATCACTTGAGTCCACCACGCAGCATTGAGAAACAGCTTTCGGAAATATTGTGTGGTACGAAGGAGCTTTGTGGAACCGTTATTTTCGGAAACATACCTGGTGAACGTTTCAAGAGGTTGGAAGGTGTCATATCTAGCGAAAACGTGTGCTTGAAGAGTTTTGTCTGCTCAATTGTGTTACTCTGCCTTAAACCGCTCATAAGAAATTTCGAAGGATCTATCAATTTCGCCATACCGTTGAATCTTAGAGGATCTATCCCATGGTCGACTCCTTTTGGAATCTTTAACAAAGAAGTTCTTGTAGAGTGCCCTCTGTCGCTCGTTGACGATAAAAACTTCCAAAATCTGGATGTATACAACGGTTACGATCCGTCCAGTGTTAAAGTCAACGAGAAAGATCCCCTGTACGAGGAGACGCTTTTGGAGTATCAATTTAGAGACTCTGTGACCTTCATCTCGAATAGTCTCAAACAGAGGTGGAAAGCTTGGGAAAGGTGTGAATTCAACGACGACGATATTAAGCGAATGAAGTTTTCAAAGCCTGGTGCGACTAAGGCTTCGAGAACTAAAACGATAGAGATCAACGATTTGAGTTCCACAATTTTTCCAATGGCACCAGAGGGTCAATTTAGCATACGAGAAGCTTGCATTACGCGAAGTCATAAACAAAGCTCATTCATGTCAATTTCATTTTGTTATGCGGAGGATTGCGGGCTAAGTATAAGTATTCACTATCCGGAAGGTTACAAAATGGACTCTTTCGTAGAATGTTTTCAGTCATTCATGGAGGAATTGTCTAGAATTTGAACAAATAAATTAATACTTAGTGTATCGTTTTATTCGAGCGAGTGAATGTCGTAGTCGGGCCTTGCATCGGGGTCAGTAAGTCTTTTACATGGTTTCCAAACGTGTACGATGTTGTTCTCCTCCGCACTTGCCATTAACCATGGTACGTTAGGATTGAAGGAAAACTCATTTACACCACTCTTATGGCCTGCATGTATCATCAGCAGTTCTGGTGCACCATCGGCAGCGTCGTCTGGAGCCTGTTCCACACCAATCTGTTTGATATCCCAAAAAATGACTCTTCTGTCTGCACCACTGGAACAAACAATACCATCTTTATGAGGCGAGAACTCTAAACTTGAAACGGCGTCCTGGTGACCGTCCATCGCGTGAAGCGGTACTTCTGGGTTCCGACGATCATACAAATAAACAGAAGAGTCTATACCTGCAGCAGCGAACAGAAAATTCGAATGTTTGCTGAACGCCAATGTATTAAACGGTTCGTTCTGGAGAAGCTTGAAAATGGGGAGATCGGACCGTTTGTCATGAAAGATGAGCGCTTTGTCCTCAGAGACCGATCCTAGAATATTTGAGTCGAAATAATGCCATTTACAATCATTAACGATATCTGTGTGCGCTCTTATAGCAGTGACAGGCGCCGAAGCGTCGTTTTGATTCACGTCCCAAATGGCAATGGTACTATCGTCCGAGCAAGACAACAATTCCTCCGTCACATTAGGATTAAAATCTAGACCATAACCATTCTCCTGGTGGAATGAAAGGCTCAATTTTAAACCAGCCTCTTTAGCCAAGGAACGATCGTAAACAAAAACCTTTCCCTGGCCATTGATTGTAGCGATTATTTCAGGCTTTTGAGGACAATAGCGAGCTCGTGTGACTTCTTCTTCATGTGGGAATTTCTTCGTGATCCGGATTTTCGATTGAACTGGATGATCTTCAATCTCGGCAGATTTGCCCAGAACTTCAGAGGGAAGGTCAATTGATGCAATTTTAACATAATTTTCTTCTTCGTGCGACGTATGAGTGCCTACCAACATATTCTGCTTATTATCTTCGGCTCCACCGTCTGGTAACCATTGAATTGTCAAAGATGGCCATAAAAGCTTCGTTTCGCTAACGAACTCGTACATTAAAGGTACGTTCGACTTCCAAAGTTCATACTCCTGGTCAGCTGAAATTTCCTCTTGCGAATCAGCAATATTCATCCTGTCAATTGACTCCCTTGGGGTCCTTTTGTCTTGTCCTTAGATCGTCATCTCAAGTTTTTAGAAATGGCTATCCCAATATAGTCAATTTTTCACTTCTATAGTTGGAATTGATAAAGCTAGGCCATTGAGCCCATCTGAGCGGAGAGATCTGTTCGATTACCGTGACTCAGTAAACCGAGTTTCAATCAGATTTCTGCCAGGTGTCTTTACGATATCTGTTTGATTAGTTGATGTAGTTGATGTATTTAGCGTATGTAAGACTTGACTTAATAAATGAAAAACCAGAACTTGGACGCTTCTGGACGCCCCTGGACGTTTCTAAAGGCTTCTGGAGCTGCTTAAAAGCCTCAGAGTCGAGCATGGCTACCATCCTTCACTAAAGACTTTGATTCACAATTCTGTGTTGTCAATGATTATCTCCTCTTGGTTTGCACAGAGGTATCCCTTTCGATCACATTTTCCACACCACCAAGCTCTTCGAGTTTATCCTCTTCTATACGCAACTGCTCTCTTCTCTCCCACCAACGCTCCTGACATAACTCGAACGATTTATGCTTCAGATGCTTACCCTTGGAATATCGGTCGTTAGAAATCGCCCATTGCAAGAACTCTCCCCCAGTACGCACATAAAAATCACGTAAAGCTTCAAATGGTTTCGGATGCGGTAACCATGGACGTGGATCCGGGAATTCGACGTCTTCTTCGACTTCTTCATCGGATTCGTCACTCTCCTCCGCGTTCAACATTTGATCTTGAAGTTCGTCTTCACTACCGTCTTCTTCATCATCTTCGTCTTCTTCATCGTCGTCTTCGTCTTCTTCTCCCAATTCCTTTGCCCTTTCGATCTCGGAAATCTCTTCCCAAATGACTTTAACGCCGTCTAACTTGTTCAGGTCAATGTTGTAAAACGAGTTAATCGAGTAATCCCTTTCACCTTGTTCCCATGTACCTCCGAAAATACATAGCGTATCGTCCACGACTGCCGTTGCGGCATTGAACCTCGCATGCGGCAATTGCGTGGTCACAGGGTATTCCTTCCGATCTTCGTCCTCATCTGAGTCCTCATCCTTCTCTAGTTGTCTCAATTCGTCCTCAATCTGTGCTGAATCTTCCGTACTGTCATCAACAATATTAGCCTTCTGAAGAATATCATTAAGAATATCTTCCAACTCTTTATCCTTGTTACGACTACTTTTGGGGGTAAAGACGGTCTTCCTCTTCTGAGGCCGTAACTTAACCGAGAACCATCTGTTGGTCTCTATCTGGTATGAAAAAAGATCATTGAAGAACTCGGAGTTTAGGCCTTCTTCAGTTTCTTCATAGTCGTAAACGCCGCCAAACAGAATGCCTCGTCCCTTGTGGTGCACCATCGAACACCCAACCCTAGGTGATGGTTGGAAACCCTGTTTCTTCCTCCGTTCCCACCGTACTCCGCTAATGTCGGACTTCATCTTCAGGTACCAGCAGTCCGTCAGCGTCTTGCCCTTTTGCAGGCCTTTGCCAGCTTTGACTTTACAGTAACCACCCCACAAGATGGCTCCCTCCGGAGACGGTATCAAGGAGTGTCCCGAACGTGCATCGGGAACTGGGTGATTAGGCGGAAATTCGACTTGTTTCCATTTATACGTTGTGATATCCAAAAGCCAGCAGTCGTTCAAATACGTGGTGGAAGTCCCCAAATCGCGGAAACCACCGTGCAAGATGAAATAATTCTTCCAGATGGCTATCCTGTGGCCTGAACGTGCGGAGGGCCCATTTTTCTGGTCCAATTTAGTCCATTCCTTAGTATCGCAGTCTAAGAGCCAAGAGTCAGAATAATGATAAAAAGTGTTTTGCTTGGGCGAACTGAACTCGCCCCCGTGCAAAAGCATGACACCACTGGGATGGGACGCAAACGCAGCAGAAGATCGCGGCATGGGAGAATTCTGACTGGTTATTTTCCGCCATTGGTCGCTGTCTAAATTGTACGTGAACAATTCATTGTAAAAAGTGGTCGTTCCGGCCGTTTGGTCAGTGTTTTCACCACCAAATATGATCAATTCCCTTTTACCACGCAGGGGACTCGCTACCATCGAGCAGTTGCTACGTGGTCCCGGACGTTCGACCGGCACCACCGAAATTTCGTGGAACTGTAATTGCTCTTTTCTGTAATTCTCCAAAATTTCATCAATATCAACATCTTCTTCGTCGTCATCAAGCTTTTTCGATTTCTTCTTGTTCTTCTGGTCTGCCTTGTCTTGATTCTTCTTATTCTTCAGCTCAGCACGGGCCTTTTTGGCCTCTTTATCTTTCTTTGACTTTTTAGCCATTATTTCAATCTAAGATTCCCTAAAATCCGCCGAATTTCGTCCAAAAATTTACCTAAATATAGAATTCAATCTCAACTATTCAATTGAGCCCACAGAATTGACTGTCAGAATTCACTTTCGTCTTTTCTTAGCAGTTGATTTTCGAACGTTCCATTCGATGATGTTCAGATTATCTTGAATTTTTTATTTTCCTTTTTTCAGTAGGTGCGGACTAGCTCATCGACCTCTTTAGCCAAGAGATGCGCTTCCGTCTCGGTAGCCGCCTCTGCGTAGACGCGGACCGCATCCTCGGTCCCGCTAGCCCTTACAAACGATCTTCCTCGCAAGACGCGCGCAATGGCGGCATCAATCTTGGCTTGTAGGCCCGGAGGAGACGTCAATTGACGTTCAGCGTTCGTGGTCTTGAAAATAGTTCTGTCGGGGACGACAACCTTAACCAATTTGTTTGGTAAATCCGTGTACTCACTGTCCCAGGTCTCGGGGGACCACTTTAGGATCGAAAGAACCGCAAGGATCGCTAACATGTCCGTAATTGCGTCTCCCACGGTTTGGTTGATGAGTTTTGAGAACAGTAGGATCAGTTGGAGTGCGCGATGGGCATGTGGCCCCACTTCAACGGTCTCAAGCTTGTCCTGCAACTTCTGGAGTGCTTGGGGAGAGAAAACTACGGTTCCATGGCCGTTAGCTTCGAAATAGATGCCGATGTCAAAACGAGTGACCGCTTCATGGTGTAGGTGTTTGACACCCGTGGGTGTGCACGACACAGGTACTTGTAGGATGCGCTCGATGTACGCCGTCGAGCTGCCGTTCGCGTACGCGGTTTGGACCACGCCTAGTGAAACCTGCTCCTGGACACCGGCGTCCTCGAGCAAAGTTTTGAAAAACCGCGCGAGCAAAGTTGCGAGCTTGTCACCGTCCAAAAGGTGGAACTTGGCCTCTGAGTCGCAAAAGTAAAACACGACCCGGTCAGCGTCACCGTCAAAGGAACAATTGATACCAGCACGCGAACCTTCGACACCTTGTGGCAATCGCTGGTTGGTCTTGACAAAATCTGCGCCACATTGGTGGTTAAGCAGCGCCGCAGCGTGCCAATCTGCGTTCACAAGCGAGACGTCCTTTTGGAAAAAAGGGTGATTCAGCAACATTTCACGAACTTTGGCGGCTCCGATACCGTTGGCCGCATCGATTGTGACCGGGTACGGTAAGGAATCGAAACCGGCTATCTGCGCAATACTGGTCCATGCGGAAAGGAAAGTGTCGTAATAAGCAGTCTCGTGAACGCGGGGAAGCGGCGCGGCCGAGGTCTTGTCCTCGAGCTTCCCAATGTTTGACTGACTCGCCAAAAAATGTAATTGCGGTGTCGTTAACGTCCCATAGTCGTACGCTTCCACGTTGCCTACCCATTTCACGCCGGCAAGAAACGCTTGCAAGAGTCGAGGACCAGATGCCCGCGAATCCCGAGCCACAACAATACGGCCCTTCATAGCACTCCGCTTGACGCCTACAGACATACACACAACGCTCACAGCATGGCAGAACGCTTCGTAACTTTCGCAAGCCGAATTCGCGACCTGTGTAGCCAACTTTTCCCATGATTGCTCCATCATTTCGCCCCGCGGGTCCACGATCTTGACACCGTTGTCCTCTGGGGGGTTGTGCGACGCTGTGATCATAACGCCCACAACCGATCCCTCCAAAAACATGGACCGAATTCCGGCAACGACTCCCACGGCGAACATGACAGGGTCTAACCCGTCCGATTTGCTCCGAAAGCCCGCCGTTCCGTAGCTAAAAGTCTGCCCAGTCTTATGGTGTTGCTCAAACAGCGCCTGGTCTTCCATATCTCTCACAATTGCTGATTTGGTTGTGGTTGTTTCCAGTTCAAGGTATTTCACCAAATGTCAGATTTCGCGATGAGCCGAAAATTGAAATTTCATCTATACACTCCCATACTAACTCTGGAAAGAGAGCAAATGGCGCCTCCTACGCCAATTTTGGGGCCCGAAGAACTCGATAGGGCAAAAGGGCAGGTCCTAAAGCCTTGTAAACTGATGTCGTTGACTCAGAACGAGTGCCGGTTCGATGGTCACGAGTACGTGTGCATCCCGTTCAAGCGAGTTTTCCAAGAGTGTCAAGCCGGCAAGGGAAAACATAAGCATACATTGAGGTTTGAAGTGACTACGGCTGCTACCAACGAACGTCTGGCATCGGACGAGATGGTACAACGCTTTTGGGATGCAAGTTTGCACTGATCACGTGCTATGTTTTCGTTCAAAGCGATTGTTGTGTCACGTGATGCATGTCACTTTTCACGTCAATCACGTGTCTTCGTTTAGAACGATATTGAATTTTGTATCACTATTAACGGTTTTGTCACGTGCTGGTTTTTCGGTTTCTCAGTCGCTTCTCGTTTCGATCTCGGATCCGACTACGGATTCGAAAACTGTAACAATTAATACACCGATATTAACTTTTACTCAGAGCACTACCATCACCACCTCGACCCTTACTTGAGCTCTTGCCGACATGGAACACATGCTCAAGATCACAACCAGTTCCGTCAACAAGAAGTTGACCAGCAACCAGACCATGCGTCTTTTCTCGTCGGTGCCAACTCAATTGCAGAAACATCGGGTCGAAACGGACGCGTTTGGCGAAATTGAAGTTCCCGCGGACAAGTACTGGGGGGCACAGACACAGCGATCGTTCCAGAATTTCAAGATCGGTGGAGCTCGTGAAAGAATGCCTGAGCCCGTGATTAGAGCGTTTGGTGTACTCAAGAAATCCGCTGCCATTGTTAATGAGTCTCTTGGCACGCTAGATCCAAAAGTTTCGAAACCTATCCAACAGGCTGCGGACGAAGTTATCCAGGGTAAATTGAACGATCATTTCCCACTGGTCGTTTTCCAAACGGGCTCCGGAACTCAGAGTAACATGAACGCGAACGAGGTCATCTCGAATCGTGCCATTGAGATCGTCGGCGGTGAGCTGGGCTCGAAGTCGATCCATCCCAACAACCACTGTAACCAAGCGCAATCCTCGAATGACACTTTTCCCTCCGTGATGCATATCGCTGCCGTCACTGAGATCACCAACTCGTTGTTGCCACAACTCACTGCTCTCAGAGACGCGCTCGCTGACAAGTCGGAAGAATTCAAATCTATTGTGAAAATCGGAAGAACCCATCTCCAGGATGCTACGCCCTTGACGCTCGGCCAAGAATTCAGCGGGTACGTGCAGCAGGTCACCAACGGTATCGACCGCGTTGAACAATCCTTGCACCATTTGAAATATCTGGCGCAAGGTGGCACCGCGGTGGGAACTGGACTCAACACCAAGATCGGATTCGCCGAGAAAATCGCTGAGCAAGTCTCTAAAGAATGCGGTATTACTTTCAAGACCGCTCCTAACAAGTTCGAAGCGCTCGCTGCACACGACGCAGTCGTCGAATGCTCCGGTGCGCTAAACACTTTGGCTTGTTCGCTTTTCAAGATTGCCAACGATATTAGATACCTTGGCTCCGGTCCTCGTTGTGGCTACGGTGAATTGTCGCTACCTGAAAATGAACCTGGTTCTTCTATCATGCCGGGCAAAGTCAACCCTACTCAAAACGAAGCCATGACTCAAGTCTGTGTCCAGGTGTTTGGTAACAACGCTGCCATCACTTTTGCAGGTGCCTCAGGTCAATTCGAATTGAACGTTTTCAAGCCTGTCATGATCTCCAATTTGCTCAGCTCCATTAGACTTTTGGCCGACGCATCTCACTCGTTCAGAATTCACTGTGTTGAAGGTATTCGTGCCAACGAGGACAAGATCGCCAAATTATTGCACGAATCTCTTATGTTGGTCACTGCACTCAACCCAAAGATTGGTTACGATGCCGCCTCAAAAGTGGCCAAGAACGCTCACAAGAAGGGAATCACTCTTAAGGAGTCCGCTCTGGAACTAAAGGTCTTGACTTCGGAAGAGTTCGACCAGTGGGTCGTGCCAGAACACATGATCGGTCCTAATAAATGAGCGAGCTCTTGATTTTCGACTTCTACACTATTTTATGTTGATGAAACTTTCTGTATTTATGGATAGGTTACGCTGCGTAACTTTAAGTACCTGTTAAAATTACTCATAGTCAACCAAACCGAGTTTTAACAATCAGGACGCTTAAGTTAAGCTGCAAGGGAATACAGAGGTGTACCTTGCAATACGTAGTTTCGAACTTCTCAGTTGGTGTCCAGTAACAATTACTCAAATCGCATTGCAAATCATTGCAAGTATTAGAACACCTTACGCAATAAGGAGTTTAAGTTTTGATGAATGTCTGCAAACGCCTTGTACCGCTGAAGAATTTTATGCGTTATGCTAACATTGAACCGACGACTCGTGCATCCACTAGAAGCATTGGAGCGATGAAACTTCAGACGTGACAGAGTTTAAGGATAATACCTGATAAAAGGAAGACCAAGACTCTGATATGGAGGTGACAAGAGACCTGCCAATAAATGAAATACCAATTGGACTTAAAAGTGACTTTCCCAGAACTTCCATTGCTTCGATGCGCCCTGTTGCGATTTACAGAGTTGGAACGACCACATCTCTAGGTGGCTAATCAAAAGCGACCCCAGGCTTTAAGGATGGTGCTAACGCCGACGAAGAGCCTAAGGAGGATACGGACTTCAAAAATGGCAAACACATCAGGCAGTGTAGGCCTAATCTTCAAAAAGAGTAGCTTCGGTAACAAGGAAAGCGCCAGCCTAGAAGAGGAAACAAAGGAAGCACGCTTCGATAACTCTCTAGTTTTGATTTATTGGTTAAGAGTTCCTTTTCCAAATGGTGGCGACAATATTGCAGATTGTATTTCTACAGTTTGTATATCTCGCGAGGAACGTAGCTTCGAGAGAATGGTCAAGAAATGTGCTTTCTTCAAAAACCAAGCTTCTTGCATGCATACAAGCAAAGAATCAAGTAAAATCAACCGCTTAATTAGTTGCTGTTTACTATCACTTTAGGACGGAGTACATGAGTTAAAAATTTGAAGCGGACAACCAAAGAGGGATCAAAGTTGATGCTATGTTATGGTAATTGCTGAACGATCCGCTCAGATCAAAACTGGACAGCTTAATTTTTGGATGGTAGACCTCTTGAGACGACAGGGGGGAAGAGATGGCTAAGCTCACACCTTTTGGAAAACTCAACTTGCATTGTAGAGTGGTCTTAGCGAAGCTGAGAATCCAATCGCCCTGAAATAGCATTCATGGGCCAAGCATAAATCCTTTCATACAGGATCCAGCCAGCAATATGAGAAACGAATGATTGATCAGAACAAAATGAATTTGCGAATCATAGTTTCGAATGGACTCAGGTTGAACCGTTCCATCAATTGAGAGTGTTTTTAAAACAAACGTTGTCGTCAGCAGTTCCATGCCCGAGGAAGCAAGGGTTCACCTAGTAAAAAATACGAATGCCTTTGATGAGAGGATACTCGCTGTATCTGCATCGTTTTCGTTGGCTTTCTCATGAATTACCTTACGCTTGCAGTAACAACGGATATTTCTGTACTTCATCTGTGTCGGTTGGTTGGATGAGAGTGCGCCGAACCGCCATGCCATCAACCAATTTTGGAACACGATGTGGAGGTCCAAGCTTGCCGAATTTCTGCATTGTGGACTTAGGTTTCTAGGTTCGTTAGCGATCTTCAATGGCTTTTCCACCAGCATAAATCGCCCTTGACGTCATCATGGCCAAATTGTTTCCTTCCTACAGTCTCGGACCTTTCATAGCGAAATTTACAAAGCGGAATATTCGTTTGCAGAAAGTATTGCACCGACCACCCGTTACCTCAAAAGGTTGACAGCCTTTCCTCACTCCATACTTCTCGACGAGCGATAAGACAACTTGAAGGCATTTTTTATGAGGACTTTATCCAGAAACCGCACGCTTATTTTTAGACTACACCATTGAGACTATTCTAATCTCCGCTGGTTTGTTGTCGTCTCGACTCTAGCCACTTGTCTCCGGTTTCGAAGACCGTTCCTCGGCTCCTCGGCTTATACAGCCAGAAAACTCACTTCCTGGCTTATTCGATCAATCCTGAAAATCATTCAAAAACGACTCGAGTATTTTCCGCGTTAAACCCGTAAAGGACGCTACCTCATCCCATTGATCACTTTCCGGCAGCACTGGTGTGTTTTCAATCGACCTGGTATCCAATCAATGCCCTTCTCATACTGTTCAAAGTTTTTCCACGGCCTCGGAAGTGCTAACTTACACTACTGAGGGCGCCTCTGGGAAGAAAGAACAATGATTTCTCCGAGATATGCGGATTTGAACGGTGTTTTTCTGGCTTTCATGCATACTGCACTAAAGTTTTCAGATAGGAAGGCACTGCAGCCAAATCTTGCATGCATCATCAATGTCGTCACCAATTCTGTGCATAAGCCTTGTTCGTTGTTGCACAGAACTTCAGATATGACCGTCGAATTAAATATCCTCCACGTTTCTCTTCTTGTACACACCCGAATAAGGCACATTATGCAGGCACACAAGGCACACAGGCACATCTCAAGCGTCGGATATCGAAAGCCAAGCCAATCTCAATACATGCCTACTCTTCTGGGCAGACTTGAAGGTGGATTTTGGACTCATCAAATACAACCAAGCGCCAAGAAAGCTTCGCTTTTCTTGGTAAAATACGCTTGAGGCAAAAGAACGCAAACGCGTGAAAGATTGATGTTTCTTAAGCGGTGATGAGATACCGAGGAAGCGGTCAGGAACATCCATCGGGGTGCTATAAAAGGCATCCCTCGCCTGGCGCCGAGCTTCGAACCCCGCCTTTCTTGTAGCCTTCAAGCACCTGGGTAATTTTTGAACATGTCAGGTTCGCAATCTCTAGGAGGGCTCTCCCTCATTTTTTCGTTTCGGTCTTTGGAGTCGCCTTATTTCATCGATGGCCTCCAGACTTGCGCTAACAGTTATGGAGAGAAAGCGGCTTGCATAGCAAGCGATTATGGAGAGGTTGTAGTTCTCACGTATTATCCTGATCAAATGCAAGCACTGCTCAATTGCGCGGAAGAAGTATTTGCCATTGCAGGCCTTCCGGTGTACACAGCTTTGATAGGTAGCGACAATGTCTATCACTCGGGAGGCGCCAGTCTCTTCGATGCTGAACAATACGGAGTCCAGATCTGGCAGGACGTTTCAATTCAGCAAGCATGTGCCAATATTCCAAAAGTCCTGTGTTATTTGCCGGAATATTGCGGCCCAAACGCGCCTAGCACTCCAGCTTCGGGTGGCTCATCCGGTTCATCCTCTGGTGGCTCTTCTGGTTCATCTTCTGGTGGCTCTTCTGGCTCTTCTGGCTCCTCTGGATCTTCTGGTGGCTCTTCTGGCTCCTCTGGATCTTCTGGTGGCTCTTCTGGCTCCTCTTCTGGCTCCTCAGGCTCTTCTGGCTCCTCTTCTGACGGCTCCTCTGGCTCCTCTTCTGGTGCAGCTCCAGGTGGCTCCTCTTCTGGCTCCTCTTCTGGCTCCTCAGGTTCTTCTGGCTCCTCCTCTGGTTCCTCTTCTGGTTCCTCTTCTGGTTCCTCAGGTTCTTCTGGCTCCTCCTCTGGTTCCTCTTCTGGTTCCTCTTCTGGTTCCTCTTCTGGTTCCTCTTCTGGTTCCTCTTCTGGTTCCTCAGGTTCTTCTGGCTCCTCTTCTGACGGCTCCTCTGGCTCCTCTTCTGGTGCAGCTCCAGGTGGCTCCTCTTCTGGCTCCTCTTCTGGCTCCTCTTCTGGTTCCTCAGGTTCTTTTGGCTCCTCCTCTGGTTCC